TGCTACATATCCGTCAAACCTGTCTCAATCATTGCCTGGTGCCCCCGCACCTGGGGCATTTCCGGGGCCAACGCGAGCGAGCTTCCAAGGATCGTCCTTGTTCTCGGATCCTCTGGGTACCCCACAAAATCACTTCGCGGTTGGTTCTCCAATGGGTAACACTACATGGAGTGCGGCGCCCTTTGCGGGCTCCCCATTCCCTTCCGCATGGGGACCCGCCCCTGCTGGAACTGGCTGGCCTCCTAATAATGCCTTCGCAGCGGGTGTTCATCATCGGTCCCACACTTCTCGGCCCGTTACAATTCGCCTGTTGGTCATCCAAGCATGCAAGCAGTTAAACACGATGACCAGCCCGCAGAACGGTACTGGAAGCTTCCACGATGTGAACCTTGTTCTCGGTCAGGTGGAGCAATTGCGCAACTCAGGCGAGCCATCGATCTCTTTGGATGAAATGCTGGACATCTGCGATACGGAAGGTAGTGCCCAGAATGGCGGCGGATCGTTTTCTATCAAGGAAGGCCCGAATGGCCAGTCTGTCCGATTCGAGCCCGATCCCAACAGCGCGGTCTCCGGTCATCGGGGCAGCATTGTGCCTGGGGATATCGGCAGCCCGATCCCCAGTAACAGCCACCCAGCCCCCTTCGGCGGATTTGGTGGGCCCTCTGTGCTGCGGCAGTATGCTTCGCCTCCGACTGGCTTATTCGGGACTTCTCTATCCTGATCATGATTTGATGCTAATCCGCCTTGAGTATTCTTCTTGGCCTCCTTTTTCGCACTCTTGTTGGAACGACTTTGAAATGCCCTCATCTATTTCTTTTTCATTTCTTTTTTTTCTCGTCCCTTTTTACTGAAGCGTCATGGATTCACGTCATAATCACACATCTGTCTACATCTTTCTAACCGAAGGAGTCACTGCTATTGATATGGGTTGTTTATTTGCTTGGTGTTTTTCCAATGCTTGAATGCCTTACTTTTCGAAGTACGGCATCCGGATTTGTTTCATGTACGGTATGAGTCTCTGGCCTTTCTACATTATGCAGCGATATCCGTGGAGATAGGGTTAATCCCCCACTCCGTCATCGTCCTTGACCAATTGCATGATCGAAGGTTTCTTCGGCTTTCGTTTGTTGGCTTTTTGCGTAGAACATAGCAACGTAGAAAAACATCTTGGGTAGGTTTTTGGATATATATTTTCCGGAAGAAATTTGGTACGGCTCCTCGCATGAATATATAGGTATATAGGTATGGTCAGTCATTCATTATGATTGATCAACTTCACGGAGCTACACTGGTGCGTGTTTGTACTACAAAAAGGCAAAAAAGATGTTGTCCATGGCCAATACAAATCATGCTGAAAAGGGTATGGTGTTATCCGGAGACAATGATACACTTGTATATACTAGGAATGAAAGAAATCCGAGGAGCAGCAAGAGAAAAAGAGGCAGGCTTCCAGGAACAAGAGAAAGACAAAAAAATGACCAAGGAAATGAAGTCGAGCAAACAAAAAAGTCTTTCCAGGAGGATCAAAGCAGGAATCCCACGTATCAATGACATACAGTGCTTCTAGAAGATGACCGGGGGGTGCATCTTGACCAAAATGGTCTGGAAATCCATTTGGCAATTACTTCGGTGGATCTGTCACAATGCCTTCGTATTCGCGAGAGCGGATATACTCCAGCGTGCGATAGAAGTGGCGCTTCGGGCCGTCAAGGTTAGTATTTTGCTCGTCTTCGTTGGTCTGCAGGTTGGAGTGAATTAGTTCAATGAGACCGTTCAAGTACTTGGTAGTGACGGTCTCGTTCTGCTGGTCGAAATAGTAGACATAGCGGTTGAGGATCTCCACAAAGAGCTCGACGGAGACAGCGGTGTCCATGCACGCATCGGCAACACGGAGGGCGCGCTGGAGGCACTCGAGGACTCGTTTGCCGTCGCGGTAGAGCTGTAAAATTGATGTCAGCTGAAAGATACTAAGATATTGTAATTCGAGTTGGAAATAAAACTTACACCCTTAGGCTCATCTTCTTCGCGTTGAGGGTTCTCAACTACCCACCAAAGGTGGCTTGCGAGATACACCGCACGACATTGATCAGGCTTCTTGAGGAGTTTGCTTCCGTGTAGCGCAGCTTTGGTAATGAGTGTGTCATAGTTCTCCTTGGAGAATCCACGACTCCCATGTAGGGCGCCCGAAATAATGCAGACGGCCTGGAACTGGGCGCGTGAGTCACTAATAGCATCTTCATAGATGGTGAATGCCTGCGCAAAGAACTCGTAGCTAACTTCCTCAAATCCGGTTTGATCGGCAATCTCGCCACACATGACAAACAGTCGCAGTGAGAGATCAGCGCAACCTGGATTGACGCGCTGGTACAAATTGTTGATGCTCTGGTGCATGAATCGGTATAGAGCCGACGACTGTGATTGCCAATTGTCGTCGTAATGCTCGCGCGACTTCAATTTGCGGGCCAATCGGACCGAGGCCGTTATGATCGCGGGAGTGGTATAGCGGATTCGTTCATTACCATCGGCCAATGCCTTGCGCGTTGCTTGGAGAAGCTGTCACAGACTGTTAGTTATAGGTGTAACACATCTGGCAAGTGATCTTACCTTTAGCTGGGTGTCATTATCCGATGCTTGAATCAAGTGTACGAGTCTCGCAAGCCACCCTTGCTCTTCTACCGTTTCATCGGTTTCTCCTCCCCGCCGCTGAGACTGTGACCCGGGGTATCCAGCAGACTGCTGCATGCCTTCCTTGATCAATACTCTTACCGCCTGGAGCACACGGTCGAGGTTTTCCGGTGTGGATATCAAGATCTTGTTCCTCAAAAGACTGCGAATCACCTCGCCCGCAACAGCCCTCCTTGTGGGGTACGACTGTGAGGCCAGTAGTGGCAGGTAATGTGGCAAGGCCAAGGCTGTGAAGATCGAAATGTATGATTTAAGAGGAGCATTGAGAAGGTGGAGGATGTGTTGTTGGGTTGGTGCGGAATGCAAATCGGCATGATCGGTGTATTCGGCAGTTTTTTGCGTCGCAAAGTCCAGGACCTGGTCAACGTACTCTAACCGATCTGGATAGGTATTCAATGCCAAATTGACAAGTGATACCAACAGCGCCATGGTATCTTGAATCGGCAATGCACGCGTTCGGATCAAATTAACCACTTGGTCGTAGAAGATATCGTACAGCTTGATTTCTGCTGGAATACCAGGCTTAGCATCATCCCCACACTCAACCTGGTTTTCTTCCGTTGGAGGTTCAGCAGGCTCAGGGCTTTCGCTGGGTGCTTCTGCTTCGCCATTCTCGGTACCATTTTCCTTGGAAGTTTCATCGGTGCTCGTGCTGATGCTGGTTTCCTTCGACTCCTCGGCTTTGGTTTCTTTGGCAAGCTCGAGCTTTTGCAATAGCTTGGCGACAGCTTCTTCCTCGCTTTTTTTTCGTACTTCTGGCTCCACTGCCGAGTCCGCTTCCCTTGCGGCATAAGAAGACAAGCGGTCCATAAGACCAATGACGATTTTCTTCAGATCCACGTTTGGGTTAAGTCTGGCGATGGAAGACAATAGAAGGTCTAGGGTGTGCAGGTGAAACTCATCTGGGAAGACCTTCGTGATAACTGTTGATCAAATTAGCAAATGGACCAAGCAAGAGTATCTTCCAAAAAAAAAAAAGAGCCGTACCTTCCAGGAGATATTCTTGCGCGAGAACATCTCGGCATTGTACGACTTGTTCTAAAAGCGCTTGCAAAATACCGGACTTGTACCCCTCAAGATCAACCAACTGACTGAGTCGAACGATGTTGCTACCAACAAGCAGCTCCAGTTCACGTCGTTCTTGTATGCGCCTATCCCGCTCTCGTGAGGGGCCCTGGTGCTGAAGCCGAACCCAGAGCTTGTTCATTTCCACAAAATTCGTCAAAACAAAGTTGATCGAATCCTGCATGTTACCCTCTGGGCCATCACCACTTCCCAGGGGCAAATGATCCCGTGCTTGGCCAGAGAGGTAGTATCGTAAGAACAGGCCACGGATCGGGTGCTGGACGCCTCGGCTCATTTCCATCATATCCTTCATGATCTCCTTGACCGGCGCATCTTCGACGGACATGTAAACAGTACCTACGGTGATCATCAAGTACAAGCGGGGGACGATATTGCCGGCATACTGAACGAGCTCGTACAGGTCGGCAAGATGGTTGACGGGGTGGTTCTCCTTTAGGTAGACGGAAAGGTGTCGCAGAGCATCAAAAACGGCCATATACAATTCGTAATACTGTTTCGGACCGAGACTGGGGGTTCGTAATTCGGAAACAAGAGTCGATCTGTAGAAGTTGATTTCAAGCGGTTAGCATACGAACCCATTGCGCACGTTCCGAGGTCGCTGCCTGGGGAGTTTCATGGGGGAGCTCACCCGCATTTGAGCGCATCCATGAGCTTTCCAGGAGTCTCTAGGCATTTGCGCATCAGACTCGACTGCTGCCTCACCACCCCCAATGCCTCCTCGAGGAGGCGGTTCTGGTCCTCGGTGACGGGTGGTGGGCTAGCCATCATGGAACGGGTGAGGGGTGGAAACTGTGGGGAGAGCAGGGTGAACACATGCAATGCCAAAGACAATGAGCTAGCGAGAGTGCATGCGAATCAATTCATAAAAAAAGTACCAAGGTGGGAATAATGGGGGAGGGAAAGCGGAAGGAGGTGAGTGCAGGATAAGCTTAGGCGTGTCACCTTGAGACTCCCCGAGACGTCACCCGTGAACTTCTTACGGCAGCCGATAGCGGCTGCTCATAACATTCCACCTCTTACATCGCCAGAGCTTTCATTTTTAAACCTTCACGGTTTTAAGCTTCAAAGCTTTTACTTATATATTTATAGTCTCTTCAAACAGTCAAAGTAGAAAATTTCAATGTGTCCTGACTACCTGCTGTACGGCACGCAAATTGAGTTGCCTAATCACAAAGGATGCACACAAAGAATGAGCAGCGCAAAGAGCAACAGAATCAACCCATCTCCCCCTACAGATTCAATCTCTCCCTGTCCAGATCCCAGTCCACCGCCAGTCTCACTCCATCTGCCAATTCCGAACTCTCACCTCCCACCGGGGCATCACACTCGGGACAGCGACTTATCTCCCGAGCCAACCCACAGTCTCCAATGGTAAACGGATGTCCGTTGCGACAATAGTACCAATGTCCAGTTCCCCTGAACTCTTGAGCCATCGCCGAAAGGACTGACATGCGTTCCTCGTTGGTGATAATTGTGTAGAATGTGCCTCCGCGCAACATTTTCTCCACGCTATGAACTTCATCTGCCAGTCCTCGTGTCTGGCCTGGGTGTGCATCGCAAAGACCTTTGGCTTTCTGAATGGAAGCCTGGCCATGCATCAAGATATTGTTCCTCTTCTCTGGAGTCAAGCAATGTGCTCGTTCCAGGGCATAGAGCTGTGCTAAGAAAATATGACCCTCTGCCTGCTGTAGAAGTCGATGGTGACTGGCCGCGTGGCGGATGAGGGTCTGGCAATCGTCCTTCATCTTCTGTAGGTCAAGCTCGAATCGAGGTGCGACCAAGTGAGGTCGTCCCTGGGAACCGAGATCTAAAAGGTCAACAATCAAAGCAATGTCTAGGCGGATCAAGAGGGCGGTGCCTTGTAGGAAGCCTTTTGTCTGCAGCACATTATCGACATGCTTAGGGTTGGTTGTGAGGCCTTGGCGCTGTCGGGCATTTTCGATCATTCTCCGAACTCTTTCAAAGGGTTGCTCTTCGGGTTTCACATGGTGCCGATAGAGATCGACACGCTTTCGCAGATCAAGGATTGCATCCCATCGACCTGGATTTGTGCTCTCGATGATCTCGCCCATGCTCTGGATTTGATGGCTTCGTGCGCCAGATATCTCAATCACCGCTGGCCATGGATACATTCTTTGGCCATCACATTCATGCAATTCACGGACAAGCTGGGGAAGTTCTTGTGCAAGAGGGACATATTCCTGATTGAGGAAGATGATCAATTTCTTCGTTGACTCATCAAGGATAGCTCGGCGAACCAGCCGACCATATCGGGAAATATCTCGCAATGGGCCACGACAGGTGGCGCATGTCTTGATGTCTTGAATCGAGAACGGTGCCAATGATACGCAGATAGAGACAGGCTTGCCGCTGGCGTCGACATCGTAGTAGCTAGCCATATCCATTTGCGCATCCATGTTTTCGATTGTCAGGAAATGTCCACACTTGGGGAATACACATGGGTTTTCGTCAAGGTTGATTTCTCTGTATGTTTCACCCAGGATGAAATCGACTTGATGATTATGGATGTCCTCGTTTCCGCAGGTTTGGCAAAAGGAGGACGAGGGACATTTTTCTCCACACACTGACGGGCACTGGTGCCCACATTCGAGCTTCTTCTCGCATCGCTTGGAACATGGAACATGGTCACAAGGGGCTGCACACGGCATTGAACAGACGCTGTGAGGACACGCTGAAAGACATTTTTCTTCCGCGCAGGGAGTACATGGCTCATAGCATTTTCGTGGGCACTTGGAATGGCCGCAGTGCACCTCGCAAGGAGCTTTGCATGGAGGACAGGGCTTCTCAGCGTGGCAAGGAATGCTGCAGGTATGAGCGCATGTAGATTGATTTCGATCACACCGTTGTTCGCAATTTCCATGATTAGCTGGGACGCTCTCAGGTCCTTTGGTGATGCAGCGGTAACAAATCTTCTTGCATAAGTGTCCACAAGGAAGGAGGCTGCGGCATTGAGCGAGGCAGCGATAGTCTTGTGCTTCCACATCGATATGGCACGGCAGTGAGGTGGTATGACTGCACCCTAGGATCGTCTTGTCCACAGGCACCAGACAGCGAACCTTGGAGATATCTTGATCCTGCCAACAAGGAAGGTCTGGCATTGGATGGCCGCAAAGAAGTGTCCTGTCCTTTTGGTATACGTTGACCATGCACTTTTCCGGACAACGATCCCCGCATCGCTTGGGGCACGGGTGATTGCAGCCACCCAACGATCGAGGGCAAGGCTCTAGGCAAAAGACAGCGTTGTGAAGCACATCCGAATGGCATTTCTGGATACAGGCATGTCCACAGCGCAGGCGGTTGACACAGCGCAGGTTGCAACCTCCTTCGGGGGAGAACTTTGGAAAATCCTCTGGTGTCGAGACCACAATCGGTGTATCTGGATGGCGAGGACATTGGAGCTCCAAGGCCTTTCCGATATTGTGTTCTTGTCTCAGAATCTTCACAACTTGAGCCCACATAGGAACATGGATTGAGGTCTGCGAATTGCCAATGATGTACATGCCGTGTTGTGCTCGCGACAGCAGGACATTGATCCGATTGGAAGTGCGCAGAAAGCCGCATTGGTTCTTTGCGTTGCTGCGGACTAGAGATATCACAACAACCTTAGCTTCTTCGCCTTGGAAATTATCCACGGTGGCCATGCGAAGAGTTTCTGACAAGGCTGCTTTGATCGTAGGCTTATCCTTGGTTTCATAACCTGCAAACCCCGCCTGTTTGAGCTCAACTCGGTCACGGTTCCCTACCATAATGGCAAAGAGTTCATCGAACCGTTTTCGTAGTCGGTGGAGCTGGCCCAGATACGGAGTCAACACTGCAATGTCTCCGTGTTTGTATTCGCCTTGTTGAACCAGATGGTTGACCAGTGCAACGGTCATATCAATCTCATGACTATTCCAGTGAGAGGTTGACATGGAATCGCCGTCAGATCCTCCCTCTTGATGCCGGTGATCCAACCAGAACAGTCTTTTCCGCATCCCCATAATCTCCGGATACTCTGAAACGGATGGAGCATCCTTCAAACTTGGATACAAGGTTTTACGGACCAGACGAGCGATAGACGGATGCATTCGACGCTGTGTTTCCAATGTGCTGAAAGGAGCTCCACAGTCCATGGGGCTTTTGTTTGAGCTCACCAGTCTCTCAAACAAGGAAATATCGAGTGAATATTGTGCTCCACCTCGATGATTCTCGCTGGAAAGATCGTAATTCTGGACTTGAGGACGAAGCTGTTGCTGATCGCCGATGAGGACTGCATGCTCAACAGAAGGTAGAAACGCAGTAAGAATATGAGATTCAAGAACCTCACCAGCCTCTTCGCACAGCATGAACTTGCATTGAAGTCTTCGGAACATATCCAATCTGCGAGCAAGTCCTGCAGTAGTGATGCCAATGACATCTGCCTCAGCCAAGCAGCGAAGGTGCATTTCATCCTGGACGCTATCATATCCCTTTTTGGCAATCTCGTGAGAGGAAACGATTCGCCTAACTCTTTCTTCAACTTCTGCCCGGTAATCATGACACCAGCGGTTGTAAAGAAGCTGTCGTTCTTCTCGAGACATCTCGAAGACATTAATGTTTTTGAGTTCCTCCACAGGCCGTGCACGAGCACTGCCTGCAGGCGCTGAATCCACCCAGGAGTTGATCGCGGTCTGGGGGTTGTCTTTTTGTACTCTCAAAGAACCATCTTCTTGGACCAGTGAAAACAGCTGATTATGTTGGCTGGGGTTTGTTCGTTGGATATAGGACTTGAGACGCGCAATGGAGACCTCATTTTTCAGGTCAAGCGCGCGAAAATCTTCTTCGCAATATGACAGTATCTCAGCTGTACTCCATCGTTCTTTTTTCTCCATTTTTGTTCTTGGTGTATCTCTCGCAACAATGTGAAGGTTGAATCTTTCCAACCTCTCCGACTTGGACTGTGATCCAATACGAACAATTTGCGATGTAACCTTGTTGTCCAGTAAAGATTCAAGAAGCTGGTCAAGAGCATGATTGGTGTATGTGACACATAATATGGGCCCCAGGTTTCCTCCAGCAGCAGCGTCTTTGTTTGCCAGTAAGACTTTGATAAGAGCCACACCAGTGTAGCTCTTGCCGGTACCAGGTGGCCCTTGAATCAAACCGAGCTTTCTTTTCAAACAGCTGATCAATGCATGAGCCTGTGCACCATCCAGGGTGGAATTATCCTGTACGTATTTCACGTTAGATGGTTGATCAACGCGGACGTAGAAATTCGTATCATTCTTCATGAGGCAGCGGAGATTGAAAGCAAAACCAGGCTGCAAAGCATACAAGGGAGGGGCCATGTCAAATAAGTTGAAATCGTCGAAGGTCCACGGGACAAACAGCTCCGAGAAAGGTAGATTTTTGGTTCTCTTCATCGACTGAAGTGCCCTGAGAGCCGGCTCAAAAGCTGGAAGAATGACTCCTGGAAACTCCACCAGAGACATATTGGCTTTTTTGGAGTCGAAAAGGTCCAGAACGACTTGAGTGTTGTTGCACCGAGAATCAACTGGCATCAACATAACTGAGCCTCTCGTGGCGCTCTTCCATAAAGTTCTTGGATTTGCCTTGTTCTCTGGGGGGACGTGATCCTGTGAGGGGGTATCCTTTCTGTACCTCGGTGACATGTCACGATGTGTCACAGTGCAAAACACAACCACGTCTTTTTGAACGATTAGACACACAAGCGCCCCGGGCTGTAGACGTTTCGAGTTCTGCCACCACGTCTCTCGGGCCTTAGGTGTGAAGTTTCTTACTCCAGCAGGTTGAGGGAAGTCGACTTCGAAGTAGAACCCCCAAAGCCAATTGAACTCGAGCTTGACCACAATGGAATTGGGATATACGAACCTGCGCAATTGCGATCTCTGCGCACGGGGACTTAGTTCGTGGTGGATTGCATCTCGAAGTTGACCGACGGTGTCTTCTCGCAACAACCGAAAGTTTCGATCTAGCAATCCGTCGACACCATCAATGTGCCATTGAAGTGGGTTATTGACGGGCAGATACTCCCCTCGAAGGCTGCAGATTTCTTCAAAGGTGGGCATGATCTTGATCTGACAGATATCGTCAAAGTCATTGTTGTGTCTGCCGCCGGGCGTCTCGCGGTTGGCGACAAAAGCGACGTTGCTTTCATTCTTGACTTTGTTCTCCGTGGTACCAGTTGAGAGCGAGTTTCCAGTCTCCATGCGCTGAAGAAGACGATCAAGGTGCATCCGAGACTGGTAAAGTCTGCCGCTCATTCCATTCTTATCATTCATCGAGGTCAACACAGTTTCAAATCTCTGGGCAACGGCATGCAGGCAATCCTGGACAGGAGCAGTAGAATTCAGGTCCGCGATACGAGAGAACGTGTGGAGAGATGCCTCCAGTAACATGGCACTGCCTTCGTTGGTGGTGTCGATCTCGAGAACGCCACAGATGAAATTGAGCCATCGCGCTGCTCTGGATCCGTCAAGTCCAAACAAGACATTGTAGATTGTGCCCACTGCCTGTTCCAATACTAGAGAGGATGCAACCTCGGGGTTGGTGATTGTCTCTAGAAATGGTAGCACCTGAGTCTTGAAAAGCAGGTCTCTGGTTGCGGCATTCATTTCTTCAAAGTTTTCCTGGACAAGGTCCAGGATGAGGCGCAGGCCATCCTCACTGGCCAATGTTCGTATGACTTCTTGTCGAATACTGGCGTCAGATCCAATCAGTTCCCTCGCTTTCTGGAAGAGAGTTGTTTTCTTCCCAGAGGATGGACGAGTGACCGTCGAGCGTAGAGGAATGCTGTTTTGCCATGCTCGAAACTCCTTATCTGCATTTGGCAAGATACAAGATCTTTGGGGCAGCGGCTCAGGACGTTGGACCTGGCTTGCTGGGCTTGCTGGGATTGTTGGACTGTGGCTTTGACTTTGGCCATTGCTTGCATGAACAAATTTGCAGTTTTTCCATCGGCAATTGCCTTTGGCGAAATCACGGCACAGCCTTTTATAGATTAAATGGGTTAGCAATGAGGTTCTCGAACCATATTCAGATATCTCTCAAATCGATTGTAATATCTTGCAAAAGTAAGAGAGATCTAAACCATACCTCTTAGAGTCCATGATCTAGTATCATTCCCTAGTCAGGTTCTTGATAGGAACAAGATGGTTAAAATGGATGTCTCTAGAGTGGTGGTATCAAAAGAAGGTGTGATTTGTGAAGGTTAAGGTGGTTGAGGGGAATATAACATGCTACTCTTAATGGTCGTTTGCTGTGCGGTATGCAAGCCCTAGGGTATATGAAAGAACGTGATCAAAGCGAGCGTGTTAATGGGACGGAAAGAAAGAGATATTGTTTGCAAATGTGTCAGGTGCGAAGGTATAATCGCCTGTTTGGATAAGTATGCTCTGCCATGTGGGTAGGCTTCTTTCGTTACCATCCGTTAGGCATATCCAGCCTTGGCTCTTCGTTTTTGACTGCAGGTTTTATTGACATGCTCTACTATGCCAAAAGGCAAAGCAATAGCTAGAATGTATGCAGTTTACTTTGCTTCCTATATGGCTTGCCCTCTGCTTTCCAACCTATTACCTGTTTAGGAAGGTGGTTCCACATTTAGATTATGAAAGAACACCACCAGAGCTGGAGCTACGTACATTTTTAAGTGACAAATATAAAAGCCATCTAGGATGATAAACATACAAGGAAGTGTTCATTGACGCGTAATGAAACAAGAGGTAAATGCTTTCAATGACTAACTGCCCCTATTTAATGGAACCCAAACATATCAATTTCCCAAGTCCCATCGAGGAACCCGAGACGTCAAATGATTATATACAAGAGGAGCAACATGGCAAGAGAGAAGGCCAACATCGATCAAAGGCCATGGTGGAGCACGTGTTCATGCAATTCACCATGGTAGTTTCAAGGATATAGCGATAGGTTAAGCCTAACAGGTATATAGAACCCGCGTGCACCAAACTTCTCTGCCAAAGAGACCTCCAAGAGCAACCCGGTTGACAAATTTTTTGTTCATCTTTAGACAGATATTGCCCTAATCGCTTTTGGTGAACCAGCCAAGAAACGCCATGGATATCAAAGTATAGAAATATGAATTGTCGAGGTGACATTGGCTAGTCACCTACTCTTTCCGGACATGGAAGTCGACATTACGCTGGCGCATCAGCTCCTTGCGCTCCAAATCCTTGGCTGTAATAAATGAGTTAATGCTGTTTCCTAAATCACTAGCCAGGGGTTTGCGTACCTTCATCGTAGACCAAGAACTCGTGAAGACCGCGGCCAGAAGGCACCATAGGAAGAACGGGCACTTTACGGTCAGTGATGACCTCCAGGAGGGCAGGGCCATCGTGATCAATCAGCCACTTCAACTTCTCCTCAAGTTCGGAGGGTTTGAAGCACTTGTCGGCAGCGACGCGCATAGCCTTTGCAAGTGGGACGAAGTCGGGGTTCTGCTGGTGAGTGTGGGAGTAACGATCCTCGTAGAAGAGGTTTTGCCTGTAACAAAAAAGTAAGCCAGATATACTAGGAAGACCGGAGGGAACAGCTTACCATTGAGTGACCATACCCTGCTCCTCGTTGTTGATCAGAAGGACCTTGACACCAATGTTGAACTGAGCAGCGGTGGAAAGCTCAGTAAGAGTCATGTTGAAAGAAGCATCACCATCGATATCGATGACGAGGCAGTCCGGACGGGCCACCTTGGCTCCAAGAGCGGCGGGGAGACCGAAGCCCATAGTGCCGAGACCACCGGAGGTGATCATGGTACGAGGGTGACGCCAGCGGAAGTGCTGGGCAGTCCACATCTGGTGCTGTCCGACACCAGTGGTGATAATGGTCTTTTCCTTCCGGTCGGCGGTGAGTTCGCTAAGCTTCTCGATAACAGCCTGGGGCTTGATAGGACCATCCTCGGTCTGACGGTCATAGAGTGTCAGGGGGAAGCGCTTCTTCCAGTCGTTGATTTGCTCGAACCATTCAGGTCGCTCGGAAACAGCCTTGACATGGGGCAAAAGAAGACGGAGGTTGTCGGCACAGTCACCCTCCACGGCCTCATTGGCCTGGACAACCTTGTTGATGTTCTTCGGCATGATCTCGAAATGCACGATACCACCGCGGCCTTCAGTAGCAGCAAGCTTGGCTTGAGGCGCAAACTTGGGGATGCTGAGAGTCACACGGTCATCGAAACGGGCACCAACAGCAATGATCAGATCAGCCTCCTGCATAGCCATGTTGGCGTAAGCGGATCCGTGCATACCCAACATGTGGAGAGCCTTGGGATCCAACTCGTCAAATCCACCAAGGCCCTGCAGGGTGGTGGTGACCGGAATGCATGCCTTATCGGCAAACTCCTTGAGAATCATGGGGCCATCGGGGCGAGCAAGGAGACCCTGTCCAACGTAGAGGACAGGCTTTTTGGCAATGTTAACGAGGTGAGCAACACGGTTGATGGTGCTCTCAAGCTGCTTCCGGCTCATTTCACGGGCCGCCACGGTAGCTGCGCTAGGGAGCGAAGGGATAGTGCTGTGCATGGGAATAGGGTTGCGGAGAATGCCAGCAGTGACATCCTTGGGTAGGTCAACCAGGACGGGACCTGGACGACCACTCGTGGCGATCTCGAAAGCTTCCTGGATGCGGCGAGGTAGCTCACCAACGGACTTGACCATCACGTTCCACTTGGTGCAGGCACGGGAGATACCGATCACATCGGCTTCTTGGAAGGAATCGGTTCCAATAGCGCTGGTAGGGACCTGACCACAGAAAACAACCATCGGAGTACCATCTGACATAGCATCTTGCATGGGAGTAATAACGTTGGTAGCACCAGGGCCAGAAGTAACGAGAACGACACCGGGCTTGCCAGAGGCACGGGCATAACCCTCGGCCATGTGACCAGCACCCTGTTCGTGCTTGGGAAGAAGGAAATCGAAGTGCTTGGAGTTGTAGATAGCATCGAAAACGGGGAGAATAGCACCACCGGGGTAACCGACTGCACATCAAATATTAGAACCGGCCAATTGTGCAATATCAAGCATGAAGTACTCACAGATGTGCTTCACACCCTGGCGAAGCATCATCTCGTGGAAGATCTCGCCACCACTCATTCCAACCATTCTTTATACCAACTAATTAGTTTTCATGTGTCCAAAATTTCCTCAGGGTAACATACGAGTCATCGAGCTCGGGGAGCTGGCGGTGTTGCAAGGGAGAAATCTCATTGCGATGGGGTTCCTGGTTGAATGACGGACTGGGCACGGGTCTGGACTCCCTGACGATTAAAAAGTTCAGAATCAAACTGCAATTACATTTTGATCATAGGAGGCACAAAAAAACTCACGGATTTGAAGCCGTAGCTGTGCTCTGAGCACGCTTTTGGACAGAGGAGCGGTGGGGCGAAGCGGCCGAAGCCACAAATGAGGTAGAAAAAGGTCGACGTCCAGCAAGCTGTTTCTGGAGGTGGAATGCTCGCAGAGCACTTTTTGAGGGTCTTAAAGGCATCATCGTGAATGACGGCCAAGCCAGGAAGACTGAGGGTAGAGTGATTTAAAGTAAAGAAAAATGAGTGCCAATTGACCGCTGAAGATTACCAGTGACTCGTCTCTGGGGTTTCCGAGAAAACGCCTAACCCAAAATGTCCGACCGCTCTGAGTCAAGAAATTTGGGGCCTCTGATTGGCTCGATGCGCCTTCGCGCCCTCCGACCTCGGCCGTGGCTCGGTCACCTGATTTGATTTTCCCGTACGTCCTCGGCAACAATAGTCTGTCGTACGGTGTACACATATCTATTGTACACCTCCCAACAAATCATTAATGAATTAGACATATAGTGGATGTCTACCAGAGACAGGGACTTCAAAGTCACGATAGTCAAGCCCCTACTACACAAAACTCACCGGAACTTTGACTTTAGATCCCCCGAACTTTTCGGTCTAGAGGGTCTAGATCGGCCCGAGCGTCTGGAGCCTACGAAGTACCTTGTAAGGATCTTATTCCTGTTGCGCCCTTTGTATATAGTATATGCGATGTTATTGATCCCTTACTTCATGATCTGCTAATACCAAAGCCTCCGAGGTCTTTTGCTCGGCTACGCTGGTCTTTTTCCTGATCACCTATCCAAACAAGTCAACAATTATCATGTTGTTTCGGAGTAGATTTTCTCTACTGGTATTCTGCGCCTTGACTTGGATTATTTCGTAGAGGTATATTCAAATTCTCTATATTCTTGGAATAACTAATGGGTATATACAATTAGATCGAGTTGAACCAGACGACAGAATACCATCGGCTTGGGATCAGCTCGAAACCCCGCATGTAAACTATTATTGGCACATTTAGGTACAACATATACACTGGTTGCCCAACCATCTATGTACGGAGTATACCAGGTTCTATACACAACATATATACCGCAGACTGTGCTCGGAAATTCCGAGGGATTTTCAAACATACTATCTAAAGAGCTATAAGAATGCCATCGTCCGATGCTCTTTCTGGCAGCGATATTTCCTTTATCCCCAAAATCCGCGTAGTTTTAAATAGAAAACGAGTCTCCATGAGTCCTTAATATGTATGATGATTATTGGAGTAGGCAATTACTGGCAGAAGTTCCGGTCTGGTTCCATAACTCAGTTGGTTAGAGTGCGGTGCTAATAACGCCAAAGTCGAGGGTTCCAACCATTCCTTTTCTTTTTTTTTGAATCCATAGTCTTTTTATCCTTTGAAGGCTCGGGTTCTATCGGGCCGTAGTTAGATGGCACAATGCCGATCTTCAGGTCCACTTTCGGGATACCGCCACCTCATGCGGTCGGCTCGAGACTCCGCAGTCCAGGAACATGCCTACGTACATCGTAGAGCAAGGCCATGTTGTGGATATAAGGGGATTACGGTAGGAATGAATTAGGTACAATTAAAGAGCCAGAACAAGAAGCAGAGATGGAACATTCAACATATGTCTATAGAATAGAAAATGCCGTCATAGCCTAATCCGGTAGAAAGCCGCCGCGAGAGGAAACTAACCAACCAATCAGAAAGCGTGGAGTTATTGATGAATGGAGACTCCGGGGGCAATCCCCGCAAAGCAGCTACACGCAACCACCGGAATCCCTCAAAAAGGCAAAAATGGCCCTACTGCAACCCCACGTGCCACTTTATCCGGAATCGGGGAATATGGAGACATCTGGTTGAAGAGGAATTACACACAAATTACTACTTCAGCTCTACTCCTACTACTTCTCCTTTTTTACATCTTCGGTTCCTTTGTTTTTCTTCCCATTCTTATCTCTCCTCACTTCCCCGCCTTCGACCTTCCCTTACCCCGCCATGCCACCCCAACAGGAGCTCGTGCCGCAAACAGAATCCATCGCGGAAGTCTACGCAACAGACGACGCCTCGCTGACTTCAGTTGCACCGGAGCACCAGAAAAGATGGACCAATCTCATCACCCAGTTCAATAAGACATATAACCACCGCCCAGATTTCGTGGCGCGGAGTCCTGGTCGCGTGAACATCATCGGCGAGCACATCGACTACTCACTGTACGATGTCCTACCGACTGCTGTCAGCGTTGACGTGATCATGGCTGTCAAGGTGGTCACTGCCAGCGCGGAGGGCACCACCATCACAATCGCCAACGTCTCGCCGGAGAAATTCCCCACGCGCGAGTTTAGCGTGCCCCACGATAAGGATGTCGAGATCGACCCCAAGAAGCACGAGTGGGTGAATTATTTCCGTGCCGGCCTGTCGGGCGCCCTCAAGTTCCTGCGCAAGGAGAAGCCCGATGGCTCGCTCGTCCCTGCCAGCATGCAGATCTTGGTCGACGGCAATGTGCCCCCCGGTGGTGGTATCTCCAGCAGTGCTGCCTTCGTGTGCGCTAGTGCACTGGCTGTGTTGAAGGCCAATAACCACAACGTCTCCAAGCAGGATTTGTTGGATCTGGCTGTTGTCTCGGAGCGCGCTGTTGGCGTCTATTCTGGCGGGTGAGTTATTATCAACGGACGACAGAAGCCGACAGAAATCTAACATCACTGCGTAATCACAGTATGGACCAAGCAGCCTCTATCTTCTCCAAGCGCGGCTACTTGCTCTACACCCAATTCTTCCCTAGATTCAACGTCCAACACGTCCCAATCCCCACATCCTCCGACGAAATCACCTTCCTGATGGCCCAGAGCTTCGTAACCTCCAACAAGGCCGATACTGCCCCGCGCCACTACAACCTGCGCGTAGCAGAGTGCACCCTCGCCGCCGTGATCCTCGCCAAGCACCACGGCGTGACACTACCCAAGGACAACAGCTCCCTCGGCTACAGCCTGCGCAACTTCCACAACGAGCTAATGGCTAAAGAAGGCCGTGTCCAAGATCCACTAGAGTACCAAATCGACTCAGTGATCCAAACGACCATGAACGTATTCACACAAGAAGAGGGGTACACGCGCGAGGAGATGGCGCAGCTGCTGGACATCACCGTAGCCGAGCTAGAGTCGACCTTCCTCTCCGCATTCCCTGTGCAAGCCGAGCGGTTCCTGCTCCGCCAACGAGCGCTGCACTGCTTCAAGGAGGCGCGCCGTGTGCTTGATTTTAAAGCTTGCCTCACCAAGGCTACCCAGCTAGACGAGAAGCGCATTCACTACCTCGGTCAGTTGCTTAACGAGTCGCAGGAATCGTGTGCTACGGCGTATGACTGCAGTGCACCGGAGGTCGATGAGATCTGTGCTATTGCGCGTCGTGCGGGTACTTGGGGTAGTCGCTTGACCGGTGCTGGGTGGGGTGGTTGCACCGTTCACATGCTGCCTCAGGGTAAGGTGGAGGCTGTTACTGCTGCGTTGAGGGATGAATATTATCTTAAGAAGTTCCCGGATATCAGCAAGGAGAAATTGGAGGAGGCTATGGTTATTAGCAAGCCATCCAATGGGTCGTTCTTGTATGTTGTTTCCTTCCCCACACCTTGATCGATGGCATACATTAGTGACTGGATGATGGCTAATGTTTCTGGTTATAGGATTACGGGTGCTGCTATTGACCGGATCCCTCTTTGAATATTACATAGCAGATTGACGCAAAGCCCACCCGAATAGGGTTATCGCTGGTACCAAAATCCAAAATCCAAAATCCAAAATATAAAATCACATTTATCTTTCATGGATTATTTAGTAAATAGTATACATGAAGCTGTACACAGATGCGCCGGATCGAAGAAAGATACCCCAAATCGTCTGGGCATCGGTGACTTTCAGAAAGCCACTGTAATTGCCTTCCAAGAAATCGCGCAGATTAGTTGGGATTGCGGAGCGAGGCGAGGATCTCAACTCGACCTCATTTGCACTGGCAGTAGGTTGCTCTGTCTGGGCAGGAGGCTCTGGCCTCCAGATTTATAGACATAATCTTTCAACCTTAGAACTTGCTGGTTGGATTCCTCCGAAGCCAGGGCAATGAATTACCTGTATAATATACGGCTATGTTATAGTTCAGTTGGTTTTGTCTCAGAGACCTTCAAGTCTTCTTCTTAGGTGCGGCCTTAGCGAAGAAAGAGCTCATTTTCTGCATCCCGCTCGTATTGACCTTTTTCAGCTTCTTAACTGCTTGGGATTCTGCAGCCTTGGATTTTTTCTCCGCCTCATCCTTGCGGCGTTTCTTCTCGCCCCGTATATCCTCTTCCTCATCATCAAGGGCTCGTTTCCGGGTGAAGTTGGACATGTCGCGTGATGCGAGGGCTTGAGCACGAAGGTCCGTAATCTCCTTGAGACGGTCTTTCAGCGGCTTGAAATCGATAGGGCTCTCTGCAGACTCGAGGATCTCATCAAGTCTCGAGGCCATGGTGGCGGGCAGATATGATTCTTTCATGAAGGCTAGTGCAGTGGAAATTCGGAGGAGCCGAGTAGTGTGATCCGAAGCTGTCGACTCTTCACTCGGTGGTTGAGGCACAGGTGTCGACTCCCCTGCAGGTGTCCCAATAGACGGGGTCGCAGTTGTAGCCACAGTCGAGGGTGAATTGTCCCTCACCTCGGATTTCGAGGCCGAATCCTGGCTTTCGTTCGATGGCTCCTGGCTAGTCGCAACATCTTCTCGTTTGACCGACATCAAGGGCGTGGCTAGTGCCTGACGAACAAACCGTTCTTCCAGACTAACAGGAAGACCCCGATCCGCCATACGTTCTGCCTTTGTGATCAACTCCTGGACAAGCCTTGTCTCATTGAACCGGAACATCTTCTCATCACCAGCCTGGACCACTTCACAGATAGCTTCCGCCCGTGCTAGGAGGGAGTCTCTGAATTCATCATCATAAAGGACTTGGCGCAGATGCTTTGGCATATCGTCTTGGGAATCAATTATATCGTCGAATGGCTGGAAAAGAGAACGGCCTGATTTCGAGGAAGGTGCTAACAATGGAACCATGAAAAACAGTGCATCGATCGGAGTTGCCACCAGGAACTCTGCCTTCTTTGTGATTGAACCCTGCGCGGAGGGTTCGGGGTCTTTCTTCTCTTCGTCCAGTGGATTGGAGGTTTCACGCGTGCGAGGCGTGAACAGGATACTCCGCGCCATATGCGCCGGTGGTGCAACAACCGTAAATTCGTATATACCGCGATCCGGGCAGAAGAAGTAGCGTGTTAGCTCTCCCGACTGGGGATTCGGTAGGGAGACGAGTCGCGCATTGTCGCTGGTTGAGGATGGAAGGATGAATGTTTTGCTCGGTTTCTCTGCGGCAACGAGGGTTTTGGCATTTGTCTCGTCTTCAGACTTCTTTGATTTTGACACTGGCGCTGATCGAGTCCTCATTGTGTGATAATAGGTGGAAGTGAGGGTGAAGACTAGAAGATCTGTGGGAACGGAAGGGGCTAAAATGGCAAGGGCGCGACGCGGCGAACGCGCCTTCCCGATCCAATCAGCCCTGTGCGCGCGATCCGTCACTTTCCCTTTGCATTAGCGAGTTTCAGCCTGACCTTGTTATTGTATCCCTGTCCTCGGCTCTCAGCTCTCTGTTATCCTTGTGACTGCACCTTCCACACATTTTACATCCCGAATTCTACACTCTGCGCAAGGGTAAAGGGCGCGTGCCGCAAATGACGCTCCATGGTATATTCGGTCTCCATTACGTCTGAATCCTCTCATTGATCGCCAGTACGGTCCCTCCAATCGATTAGACTAATCGGTGACTAACTACTCTCCCCTGAAAAAGTGGCTGAACCTGTGTGGCCGCCTCAATCACCCCGCGCGGCTCTCTTGAGTTCGCCAGCTGGACGACGAAAGTACCAAGACATGCAACGCACTCGAGGAAACCTGGTATCGCCATTGAAGCGATCAAGAACCACACCCAATATCCGATCAAAAGCGAGTCAAATTGTGGATGAAGATGATGGGGAAGAAGAAGACGAAGAAACCCTGCAGCTTCAACTAGCCGAGATCAAAGCGCGCTTAAAGCTGAAGAAACTCCAGCAAAAGAATCGCGGAAGGTCTAATTCGAATTTGGACGACGAAGATGTTCGACCAAACTCCGCAATAAGCCCTTTGCGAAAAGAAGACCGCGGTGCAACACCAAGAATCGCCAAGGGGGGGAAACAAAGAACGAGCAGCGATGGAATCCAGGTTCCGGCATCACCTACTAGGCGAGAAGCTCCTCCCACCGACCCAATATCGCCTCGGAGGTACGTGATGGGCATTGATAAGGGCTGGAAGGCCAATGATGTATCCTTGAAACGACCTCCAAGCTCAAGACCCGGCCCTCGACCAAGTAGTCACATGGGATTTCGAGACAGTGTCGCGCCTCGCTCTAATGACATATTCGCCTCACGGCCCCAGAGTTCTCCTTCATCAACAGCAGGAATCAACCGAATAAAATCTTTCAGCGAGAGAATGGCGGAAGGCAGGGCGGCTGAGAAATCTCGGCTAGAGAGAGCAGAAAGGGTCCAGGCCAATCAGGCCAACCGCAGTTCGGCTTTTCAAGTCGACAAGTCAGAGTTAGAGGCTTTCAAAGCTGCAGCTTCGGATACAAAGCATTCCCCTCCACCGTCGTTGTCACAAGAGCGGCCGACGGAAAGCTTTAGTCGTGAGGATATTCTTCGATCTATGGGACAATCCCGCCCATCCGGTCTACAACGCAGTAACACAACTCCGAATGTTCGACGAACCGAGGGCAGTGGTCACAACGAGAGACAATCTCATCTACATAGGCGAACTCATACGGCAGAAGAAGAACCAAGTTCATCTCACGACTTAGACCAAACAGACGATGCTTTAGTGAAGGCGGCCCCGGATTCTTCAAAATTCGAGTCCTATTCGTCGCTACATCTATCAAGCCGCGTTCTTCCACATTCTTTCTTGAGCCGCACACTCGCAGAAACGAAAGTTTTGCGCATTCCTGATCTACTCAAAACCGTCAAGGCACCCGCATTCGAGCTCCCAGAAGACATCGATGGGGACTTTGTGGTATTTGGCGTCGTTGCGTCCAAGTCCGCCCCAAGGGACAAGAAAGCTTCGGGGAACGCGTCGGCTAAAGAAAATAACCCTTATGATGATGGACTAAACAATACGAACAGATATATGGCCATTACCCTGACCGATCTGAAATGGACTATTGACCTCTTCCTTTTTGACACTGCTTTCCCCCGTTATTACAAAATCTCGGAAGGGACTCTCATCGCAATTCTGAACCCCACCATCATGCCTCCACCAAAGCACAAGCTGGACACAAACAGATTCAGCTTGTCCTTGTCCTCATCAGATGACAAGGTCCTCGAAATTGGTAAGGCACGCGATATTGGGTTCTGCAAGGCTGTGAGAAAAGACGGAAAGACCTGCGAATCCTGGATAGATGGTCGAAAGACCGAGTTCTGTGACTTCCACGTTGATATCCAGGTTCGACGCACCCAGGGCCAACGCTCGGGAGTCAATGCTGATACGGGTATGCTTGGTCCCGGTGGTAAATCTGGCTCGCGCACCGGATTATTTGGGGAAACAAGGAGGCGAGCAGCTATTTTCAAGCAAGACATGAGATACGATGGCCCTCAGTATGACATGGGGTCTCAATCGCTCTACTATGTGGCGCCCTCCAGAAACCGCGGGGCTGGCCGTTCGTTCCAGAATCCCATGGGAGACTCGGCGGCAAATCTGATTGATTCGTATGACGATCCTTTTCTTGCTTCGGGTATGATAGGCCGCGGCATAGAGAGCAAGGAGGAACGAATGCGCAGACGTCTTGCGACCCAGCAGCGAGAGCGTGACATCACCCAAAAGCTAGTTACCGGCCGTGTCGGTGGTGTGGGCGCCGAGTACCTTCGCGCAAGGACCAGCAACGAGAGTCCCAACAAAGATAAAGCAGCAGACACCCCTTTGCCCAAGAGCCCCACGACAACCAGCGGCATGGATATGACCACCTTTGGCAAAGCCAAGAATGTCCGTCTAAGCCCAATGAAGCGTGCTCATGACAAACCCCATGGCAGTGGTGTTAAGAAGACGCGGTTCATCACTTCAAGGGGTATCAGGGAGGCTGGCCGGGAGAGCCTGGGTGCGCCAGCTGAGACCACGCTCAATGGGAAACAGGCACTCTTGGATGATGACGATGACGATGACCTGGAATTCATTTGACGGATTCAAATGGCGATATCCATCTGGTCACTAATCGACCTAGGAGTTCTCCTTGTGGACAGGAATACCTATAACGCTGTAACGAATAAAAAGCATGTCCCGGCTGCACTGGGCGGATTTCCTTTTTGTTGGATTTGTCGAGGAGAAGGCTAGATACAACCCCTGTAGTGAATCGATGTGACGATTCATGTATTTGTATTGTCCCCTTGTCTACAATGTCCAGGTGGATAAGTACACCCGGCTACTACCGAAAGTTTGTTTTGACTACACCAAATGGCAGTCTTTCTCGACAGAGAAATATGCCTTTGCGAGGGACTTAATACCAGGAGTTACAGGAAAAGTTTCGAGATATCCTGAATTCTATTGAGCTGTCCCGTTTTACTATGATTCCTCCCGTGATGACCAATAAACCGCTTCCAGATGAATGAAACAACAAACGAATGCGCCGGTACCATCAGAAACAATAGAAAGAAAGAAAGAAACAAGAGCGTAGATGAAAAGACAGGAGGAAACGCCGCTATTCCAATTTAATACATGTTCTCATGAGGTATCCTTAGTGTTCACGACTCCCAAGCCCCCGCGCGCCACTGAAACAACAAAACGCAAAGAGACAAGAGAAACCCAGCGGCCTGCGCAATTACAAGATGGCTGTCGTGGGGAGAAAAGACGGCATAAGGAAAAGAAAGCCGACGAAAAGGTTGCTCCCAGGCGCAACCAACAAACAAAAGATTGGCACGCACTTCGCGCCAAGTCCGGTGCACGCAAATGAAAGAAAAGTAAAAATTCCCAAAGCGCTGAATGATGCAAAGTCGTGAAAAAAAGATGACACCTTGGAGACCTAGGAATCAGACGTAGATGCCTCAGCGGTCGAGGCCGCGGATGCTTCCGCGCGCGCGGCCTGTCGGGTGCGTGGAGCAGGGCTACCACGCGCGTCGCGAAGACGCTTGGTGCGGTCGGTGCGGGCCTCGGCCTCCCGCGTCTTCCTGCTGACAGACGGCCAGTACTTCAGGAGGCTGCTACCACTGCTGACAGAGAGGCCTCGGGATCGAGCCTGATCCCCATTAGAAGAGCCGAAACTAACGTCCTCAGAAAAAGAGAAAGGTGTCACATCGTCCACGGCAGGGCGATGGAAACGGAGGCCAGTACGTCTAACGGGGGCAGTGTGATAGACAGATGAGGTCTCAGATTCAAAGGAGGGGGTAGATAGATCTGGCAAGACGGGAGGAGTCAGATATGTCTGGTCTTCATAAGCCGGAGTTGGAGACGTTGGCTCGTGATCCTCGACATCGGTGACATCCTCCTCCGCACCATCGGTAGGGTCAGCGTGCTTATCGGTAGGCTCAGCGGGCTCAGGGAAGAGGATACGAGGCTTGATGTCGCCACGTCGCAAAGGCTTCACACTCTTGAGAATATCAGGGTTATCAGCCAACAGGTCAGGGCGGTTGGCGAAAAGGCCAAGGTCGTCTTCATCCTCGCCCTCATCTTCCATGTCGTCAAAGCGCTTGAATATCTTTTTCCCACGCCTAAATTACAAGTTAGAATATGCGAATATGGTGGGTACGGGTACATGAGGTTTGACTTACTGGACAAAATAGGCTCCATTTTTGTGGCTGGTGGTTGAGCGAGTAGCAGGTCGTCCGACCGCTCGTGCCTTGGTAACGAACGAATCAGTCGAAAGTGGACCGATCACAGGGATGCGATCACGCGAGTCCTCATGAATGGAGATACCCAATTCTTGCTCGGCAGTTTCAATGTTGTACGCTCTCAAAGGCTCATCGACGAAGATGTCCAGGGATTCTGCGGCAGAATATTTGGGGGTTTCCATTTTTCTGCGTTTGGGAGTGGATGTGGAAGGAAACAGAGAGCGAGATGTAGAAGAGCCAGAACTGATTACCTTCTTCTTCGAAGGTGTTTTAGCTGGTGTGGGTAAAGCTCGTTCTGCAGAGGAACGTGAGGTGTGTTGTGCAGAAGTGCGGGGAAGTGAAAGTTCCGAATCAAAGGGGGAAATTCGGGAGGCAGCAGTTCTGTGAGAGTGTGCACCCTTTTTGGGCGAGGGCTTGGTAGTGCCAGGTGATGAGGGCGAAAGAGTCCTTTTAGCTGCTCCATGTTTGGCAGATGTGCTTGGGTGGCTTGGGGGCGGTGTGGTTTGGACCCTTGACGCTCGTTGACCAGCAAGTCTAGCAGAGTAACGTGTAGGGTAAGGTTCATAGTTGTCATGCTTCGCCCCATGTCGCGGTGCTCTAGGTACACGAAGCTTAGACGGAGAAGGCGGCGGTGGTGTTGACGCCATATTGACTTGAATCACGATTGATTAACCGTTCGAAGGGTTGCGATCTTTCGAGTAGAAGTATAAATAGTATATCACAATCTATCCCAGGGCTTTTTCTGGATTTGGCGATTTTGATAAAGTATCGAAAAGGAGCGTTGATTCAATCAAGGGCGTACCACGTCCGACTTGTGAGATATTCAAAATCAGGCAAGCACCCGGAGATATAAAAGTCTAAAGAAGGTATGAAGCGTGATCTTGCAGATATCCAATTGTCCAAGGCGATGAAACTAAAATCGATAAGTTGGGGATGAAGGGAGGACGAAGTTGTTATGAAAGCCGATTGTCGCCCAGCCACCGGGTATCTTCACCGCCCGATAATTGCGGTGGCTGAAAACCCCGCATCAAACAATGTTGACTTCCTATTTCGATCTACCCCAATTGCTTGTTTGATTATCTTAAAACTGTCAGTCTTGTCGATCATCGGCTGTCAATTAACCTTCAACTATTTCGGACTCACAGTTATCCCAAAACTAAGCCCATTCAGGTGTTCAGTCTATCGAGATTGCTTGTACATACTTCGGCTCCTGCTCTGAAAATTCAACATGGCTTTCCGCACCACAGCAGAAGAAATGGAGAGGCTTCAGCTGTCTGATGATGACACAGAGGACCTCTGGAATTCACCATCCAAGAGAGTGACCCGCAAAAAGATCAACCCAAGAACCTCCGATGAGAAACCTACACTAGAACCTCGAGCTTCCCATGATGGCGAGGATCCTCTCTTTGATCATCAACAGTCTCGAGAGACTGCGCTCCGGACAGAATTACAAGGTGTGCGGAATATCAACGAAGTAATAGAAGGGCTTCTGGCAAGTTTGGATTCCGCCAAAGGGAACATGGAGGTAATATATTCTTCTCATAATGCACGGTCAATACTTTGGCTAATTATCCGTATAGACGGTCTCACAAACCGTTACGTCGGCCTCGACACTCCTCAACACGTGGACTCGCATTCTCTCCCAAACTGAGCATAATCAGCGACTGATCCTCAACCCCGATTGGCAAGGCGCTACTCAGGATGTGATCGATATCGAGAACCAAGCGATCCAAAGACAGCAAGCGGCAGAAAGACGCGAACAGGCACTTCAGCAGCAGCGAGAAGCAGCAGCGAGAAAGGCCGAGGAAATCGAAAAACGACGCGCACAGGTCACTCGGGGTACTCGAGGCACCCGTGGAACTACGAGGGGTACAGTTCGAACTACTGGATTAGGAAGAACGCCCAGTGTCAGCACAAGCCGCACGGCAACACGAGGGTCTACGACAACAACCCAACGGCCAGCCAGCGGGATTGCACGAGGTAGCGGGATTGCTCGCGGTCGGGGGAGAGTCTAGATGGACTGCGCTAGTTTATGTATAATAAATCTTTGACTATGAAGATACTGAATGATATGATACCCTTACTTTATATATTGTCGCCTGAGGCATCAGATGGGCAGTTACGCGTCGCGATCTGATAACGATAAGGAGATGCTACTCCAAATTAATCCCCTGATGCCCGAAGATCATTCCGTCATTCACCTTTCAAGGTATGACAACATGATGAACTTCGCCCCTTATCAAGATCAATCCCCGGAGCTTGAGCGCGCTCTATCCCCTCCCCACCCCGACAGCCACCGAATATCTCCAATCCTCCGCTCACCGCGAGCCTCGACCGACCTACCCTCGCCCAGTCACTTTGCTAGCAACGGATATGGCAACACGGGATTTGGACGAGACATCGAGGGTGGCCATGTGAGCTTAGGGGCCTTTGAAACAAGTCTACCCATTCGCATGGATATCGAAGCGGCACTAGCATATCTGCTTCTGCCTCCCGCGGGGGGTGTATTCCTACTACTAGCTGAACATAAGAGCGATTATGTGCGGTATGTAATAGGCTTTATTATGGGGTTGAATAACCTGGAATCCCGGTTTGCTGACTATCTACTGTAGATTCCATGCTTGGCAATCGTCCATGTTATTTGCTACCATGTTTGTGTGTATTCCAATCCCTCTTAATACTGCATACGCTCACATGCCAAATAGATCATTCACCTACTGTTCTGCTGGTCAAGCTTTCTCTCCTGGGTTTTGTTTATTATCGATATTGCTTTGATCGGCTTCCTTAGCATGCATGCTTACCGAGATGGTGAGTCTTCCAAGGTTCTTCACGGGAGCTGCCGGTACAGCTGAGCTGTTCGTTGGCTGGAAAGATAGATCTTATACTTATCATATCACTCTAGTTGATACTCTGGACCACTTTGAAGTCCCATTTTTTGGCCGTCTAGCTAACTCCTTTGTTGATGATGAATGAATATGATCCTTCGGGAATTGCACGTGCTGGAATTATTACCGCGAAGCCTGTCTTTTCTTCATATACCCCTGTCTGTCAATACTTGCTAGCTTCTTTCTTTGGTTCTTCGGCAGGCTATGCGTTGTGAATGATTCTCTTTGTGTTTATCTTATTCCAGGTTTGTAAATTTTAGAATTTTTAATATCTCGAATATCTTATCTCACTCAACCCAATGTTTCCAAAATGCCAATGGTAGCGAATTGATTCTTCATAAATACATGAATATAGCAATCAGCATTGGTAATTGGTAATTGCCTTACTAGAATAATCTATCACCTCAAATGTCCCGATCCTTTCACCCGTAGAGTCTTGCTTCCCCTGAGAATCGTGTGCAAATCCCATTGTCTACAGACTGCAAGGAGAATCATCGATTGTAGTTGTGGTGGTATGAGCCGCTTTAGGGGGAGGGACCAAGTACTGCAGCCTCACATCGGAAGTATTTTTCGGGTCTGTATGATAACGGCATGTCAGGTTAGACATTATCATAGCACCCAGTTGGTTTTTGGGGTGTAGGTCTCACCATAACTTTGGGTTCTAGTTTTCTTCAGCGTGATTGTGCTGAGTAAAGATTTTGCTTTCAACCTCGTTGTGCCGAGAGCTGTTTTTGCTCGGATGTAGCAGTTCTTGATCCAGCAGCCGATTATATTCAATATATGATGTCTAGCAGAATGACAGTAATATTAGCATCAGCTTCTCTGTAAAGTTTGCCTTTCTTATAAGATCATCATGTTCAATCTTAGTTCTCGGTGGTCATAGATACCGGATCACGATGGCGCATACAAGCATGAGCAACAATAGAGCACACATTGCTAGTATAAGTACCCCTAAATATCCAGCAGCCAAATCAATTGGTGATTCTGATGCTGAATCAGACTTGTCGCTGGGAATAGGAGCCATTATTGGCAAGTAAATATGTCAGTAAAGGTGAGGAAGGTATGAAGATAGAGAATAGTGTGAGGATGGTCTATATCGAGTCAATGCTTAAATGCACGTCTTAGGTTATACAAACTCAACTCCAGGTTTGCGTCAGGATGACCCGTGGTCCTCTTTCAGATAATAATTCATCTTCGGCATACACCTCTAGGAATAAAGTGTGCTGATAGAGACAAGTACATTATCCGTGGGCAGAGCCAGCTGCTAGCGTGATCTTTTCTATAACATCTTAGTAACTGAACTACGAGGAACCCATCAGTCACTGAAAGAAGACTAGCAGGATGAGACGCTTGAGTTAAAGCTAAGAGGTTCTGGTCGATATCCTATTTAGTGGGGTTGTCATATTAGTTATATGCTAATCTTCCCTGCGAGTAAGACCCCAGTCTCCAACCGCTAGTGCGCCGTATCAGATTTCCCTAGCTCACCGCTGGTTTTTTATTACTATAGAGACAAGAATAGTCGGCCGCTTAAGCGGACTTATCATGGTATTCTCGACAGTGTTTTATTTTCAAATAATAGTTCGTTCCCCTTAGCTCCTTCCCCCGCTCCGCATCGAAGCTACTGTAAGCGGACATTTAAAGAACTCGAATGCCACTGACCTAGTGTTTCTTACCTTAAATGCTTAATGGCTACATTTTCTATTTTTCTCTTCTTATTTCAACTCTCTACATTTTGATTCTATTTATTTACCAGCTAAACATATAGAGAGCCACATGGTGGTGTCACATTCGCCATAATATCACAACAGGGAAGCCAAGTCAAGCAATATAAAAACACTATCCTGTTATCCTTAGCCCATTCTTATTCCTCTCCATTCTTCCGGACCTAGTTCTAGTTCTCCTAACGTTTGTAGACAGGCAGGGGCACCTCAGGTGGCCCGTAGTATTCGTAGTCGGGTGGATCTTCCGAGCTATCAGATTCATGTCTTATATATTCCACCGTGATATCTTGCATCTCGATGGGCTCTGAACAAAGACAGTACTAATCAGTAGCTTGACAGTATCTAGTTTGGATAGGTCTTCCTTACCTGGTGCAGTTTGTTGTTCGTTGGCTATAACCTGAGGCGCTGCTTTTAGACCAGCCAGGTGATATACCCTTTTGAATGCATTTTGGAATACATCTTTCACGCCATCTTTGATTCGATATCCAGCTCCACAAACATCACTAGATCTCAGGACCTGTTAGTGTCTTTTCTTTGATGAGAACTGTTGGATTCGACACCGATAGAAAGAGATATTATCATCGCTCACGACTTACCGAGCAATTTTATCCCAAACAAGCGAAATGTTGCGTACACAATCACAACCAAATGGTCTAAAATAATGGAATGTCGCCAAAATTATAAAACCGCCGAGGGTTCCCCAAAGAACGCCAGATAGAACCCACCACATGGTAGATTCATCTGAAGAATCATCCGAGGAATCATCTGAGCGAGTACGCAAAGCAACGCCTCCATTACTCTGTGGCATCTGTATAATCAGGTGAGACATAGCAGGCATTCTCGGTAGGCTCTTCTTGTTGAATTTATGATGGAAATTGTTAGAAAATGAGTGATACATCCATCAGTGATGGTCGTAATCTTTATTTGGTCTCCGTCACCCGAAGAGTTTCGGAGGTACAATTTTTAGAGGTACACTTCTAAGTTCAGACCAACCAAGAAATCGATATTCACTTCTCGGTATTAAAAAAGACAACTTGCACAGTGATATCATCCCGTACCCGTCGAGACAAAGGAGGGTCAAAGGCAAGCCGGCCTGCTATCAACTCGTGGTAATTTCCACCAAGGGAGTTACGCATCAGATGTACTGCTGCATTTTCATCTTGGATTGTCATTCTCTCCTTCTCAAACTGCCAGTCCACATCTGTCCAGAATCTGCCGAAGTCAAATTTCCCATCTGTCTTGTTCTCCTCGGTCGTATTCTTCTCCGTCCGTTGTGGTTCCAACCAGTTCACTACCAAGTCGACACCCTGCTCACTGGAGAGATAATCCCATAGCCCATCCGTTGCCATAATCAAGAACGAAGGTTTGTTAGGATTAATCTTAGTACTTGTCACGACCGGCTCGGCAGTCAAGTATGGAGGTGTGCGAATATCACGCCGTGGTGTTAGAGGGGCTGGACCATTGAATTTCCGCTTCATTTCCTTCTGAAAATCTAACGGCCACTTCCAGAGACTGTCACCAAAGGCTCTTGAGACCATGATTCCAAGAACCCGTCCATCTTTGGCTATGTTTTCCTCGCCAGGGTGCTCCTTAGAAATGCGGGTGGTCTCTTCTTCGTTACTGCCAGTTTGGTCAACTGACAAGGGAATTGTCTCCCACTTGCCGTCTGCTCCTTTTTGTCCTAAAACCGCTCTCGAATCCCCAGTACATGCAACGTGCAGCGTGCTTGTGATAGGATCGTATAGAGACAACAAAGCGCATGAACCAGCGTAAGCAGGAATCAGTTTTTTGACCTTGTCTTGGAATGATTCTTTGCTCTTAGATGTGTCCGGTGCAGTCTTGATAATGGAATCATCGAGGTCCACGAATCCTTCCATGATAGCGCGCTGCACTGACTCATTTGATACCGGTGAGTTAACTTCGGACAATCTGCGTCGCACGAAAGGTAGGAGTTGCTTCGTCAATAGGTCCGCTGTCTGCCAACCTGAATGTCCATCAAAAACAGCCCAGGACATCCATTGATCATTTTCATTCCACGATGAAGAAACTTCGCCATGAATAAACCGGTCCTCACAGGGGCTATTGGACGCCAACTGGGCGCCGTCGTATCTGGTGACACCTGTAATATTTCTGACATGGAAGGAGTATGCCTCTTTCGATAACATATGTGTGATATCCTCTTTGGAGGGACCCGGCTCCGGGGCCAAGTGCTCCGCTAATGGACACTCGAGGCGGGGTGCATCATCCCCTGCAGCGGTCAACCACCAGATTCCGGGCGTGCTGATCAAGCCGGCAGTCGCAATGTAAGCTTTCCAGTTTGGAGAGAAGTGCTTTGTTGATAAGGAACGCTTGGTATGTGTCCGTACGATGGACGTGGTCACGCGCACTAGACGCGGTCGTATGCGACCTGATAACATGGTGGGTTATAGCTGGGAAGAAGCAGAAGAAGGAGAAGCTGAAGAACATTCAAGTCAATTGAACATTTCTCTGGATTTCGTCAAAAGGCGGTCAGATCATGAGGCTTTGAAGACAGTCTCGAAGAGGGGTAACAGGAAACACTCCAGAGCACATTGGCAGCCCTAAATGAAATAGCTACTCACAAGCCCCTAAGTAGGTAAACCTTTATTTACTTGATCGAGATATACTGTTAGATAATGGATACCGAGTGTCGGAAATGTTTTCTACTAAAGATTAAAGATATAGAATGGTGAGACTGAAAGATATGTATAACAAAAGCATTGGCATTGAGTCGAAAATGACTTTTAAAACATCAGACATAAGATTTACTAGAAAGCTAGCACCTCTGGAACGTACCTGCACCATGAGTTAAATCAAAAGTCTATCGCATCCAGTCCGAGGGACTGCAATCATCAATCAAGTATACACGACTGTCTTCAAATCAATTTAGGCCACTACTTACATATGTCATGGGAAATACATCGTAGAAAGGAGAGCATCAATTAGAGCAAAGCACGTCATATCCTCCATAAAAGCGTACAAACATAGAGAAAGGCAAATGATGAAGATTGGGGCAGGAAGCGGGAATAAAAATAAAAGACCATAGAGTGTCGAGGGTTCAGACAATTTCGCTGGATCGCTGTCGAGAAAGGAAAAAGACAGAAAAAAAAGAATTCAACAAATTCACATGAAGCACATAGTAAAAAGATTCCCAGAACAGAAACGCTAAAGTGTCCAAAAACATCCGCAAAAACATGATAAGATTAAACAAGCTGTTTAGTGATGTCAAGACGGGACTGTAGCACCATGCTGAGAATAAAAGCAAAATAGAAGCTGAGCCAGAAAGAAATCGCCAATGTGCAAGGAAAGTAGACGAAAGGCGTGGTATCTATGTGAGAAGAAAAAGAGCATCACCTTCAGGACGAATGTTCTGAGGGTCGTGGCGGGTCGTGAGTACAATGGGGTATTAAATGATTTGCAGATAATTGCTTGGCACAAGACCAGGGTGGCCACGGGCGTTGGTGACTTCGGCTTCCCACCACCCGTCATCCTGCAGACGGAGAACGGCAAGGACATCTCCCTTACCAAAGGTGAGCTCTTCAGGGATGGCGGCATTGTAGGAGTACATAGCACGAGCTGTGAGGTTGGACTAAGGTTAGATACTAACAACGCATTGTGAAGAGGAGGAATAAATGCTTACCAAAGTGCAAGATTGGGCGGCCGTCACGGCTGAATTGACGTCCAGGCTCTGCAACAGCCATAGTACGGCTCCGAGATCGGCCAACAGGCGGAGGAGCCTCACCATAACTCGATGAGGGGCGGCTGCCTCCTCGAGCTGAGCTAGCATATCCACCGGGACTGCTGGAACCGTACATATCGTGGTTTCCAGACAACTGCAGCTCCATGCCACCAGAGCTAGAAGGACGAGATTGCTGCCTGAACTGGGGGTTCGGGGATACAGCACGGTGGCTTGCAGCGGGCGAGGGCCTCCGAGCATACTCGTTTGGAGTGTACGGATCTTGAGTACGCCGAGGAGTGGGCGATCGGCTGTATTGACTTCGCATGCTGTTAGACTGGTAACTACTCGGAGTAGGGCTCGGGCCCCTGCCACTGTTCTGGCTCATCCGAGTATCCACACGGGGCTGAGGGCTGACGCTCCGTCTCGGTGCTGGCGATCTAGCTCGGGTGGCTTCTTGACCGCTATGTCTAGATCCCATACTGTCTTGGGTCTGACCACTATGTCTAGACCCCATGCTATTATTGTTGTTTTGTCCTCGAAGCATGCTCTGGGTTTGACCAGTATATTTCTGAGTTGTCTTGTGCATTTGCTTTGCTGTAAAGGCCGGTTGAGGTGCGCCAAGTCGCTTGACTGTGGGATCATTGTATGCTGGGGGCGGAGTAGCAACGCTAACACTGCTGCCACCATAGGTCGAAGAATATGTCGACGGAGTGGGTGTGGAGATGCCGTGATATCTATCTGCCGACACCCGAGTGGCTGACTGCTTGCCGCCCGTCTTGAGGTCTGCTAGAGCCCGCGCGATAGGGTCCAAGTCATCTTCAGATGCCTGATTCGGCTGTGATCCTTTCTGGGGTGAGCTCTTTTCTGGGGTTGCCACGTCAAAGACATTGTTCCCCACATTGAGCTGGAAGTTGGCTCGAGGGTCAACAGGCTCCGGGCTGCCAGAGGCACGACCCGGCAGGCCTCCCGAAGGCCTGACAGGGCTGACTTGTTTGGTTGGGCTAGCCTGCTTGGGTGCACTAATCTGCTTGGGCGGGCTCACTTGCTTAGGTGGGCTCATTTGCTTGGGCGGGCTGATGATTTGTTTGGGTGGGCTCATTTGCTTCGTCGGACTGATTTGTTTTGTCGGCGAGTCCCAACCACTACGAGACGTGGAGTTGGGTGAAACGAGCGACGTTGGAGAGATGCCCTGCTGTGAAGAAACAACAGGCCTTTCTTTGTCATGTCGACTCTTGCGACGGAAGGGGCTGTTGCTGAAGAAAGCGCTCTTCTTTTTTGGTGATTTGTCATCTCCAGAAGCTGTCATCGGCACACTGTTTGTTGACTTTACTATAGACTTTTTCGTAGGTGTTTCCTCGACACTAGAGATAGAGGTTGAGTTCGAAACTTCGCTCTGAGAGTCTTGGCTAGACGGGCGATATGCGCTGGTCGCTGAGCTTCGTTCTGAGGGTGGCCCGGCACGACAGAACATGGTCATACCATCTGTGGGGTATGCGTTGTGGGGAACAGCTCCGATCTCTCCATGTTGCTCGGGGTCGTAGTTCGGAGGCGGCGCGCCACCACGGCGGAAGTCTAGAGGTGCAGGTTGCTGGGGCTGTGCCTGTAGCGGCGGTTGTTGTTGTGGTTGCAGAGGAGGCTGCTGATGCATGAGAGGCTGCTGTTGCATGAGAGGCTGCTGTTGCATGAGAGGCTGCTGTTGCATAAGAGGCTGCTGTTGCATGAGAGGCTGCTGTGGCATGAACGGCTGCTGCTGTGGGGGTGGCTGCTGTTGTGACGGTAGCGGTTGCTGCTGAGGTGGCGGCGCATTGTTCACGGCTGGAAGAGTAGGTCGTCCTATTTGAGCCGCGAGCTCTGACTGTGGGTCATGGTGTGATTCGAAGGTTGAAGGCTGAGGAGAAGATGTGCGGAATGCAGGGTTCATAGTGCGTTGGAATTGGGCTACCGAGTAGCCATCAGCTTCATCTAGGTCAGAGCTTGAGTCATCATCCTTGCAGAAGTTGATGAATCGGGGAGGATCTGGGATCTCTTGGCCAGTTCCTCGCTCCTTGATGAAGAACATAATATCCTTCTCCACTTCACAGTCTTCCAAAGAGAGACGGACTTTCTCGCATGACTATAGGTCGAATTAGTATTGCACAATAAACCCGGGCACAATAAACATACGGCATCGTCGCTGACACAAACAGTTGAAGCAATGTTTGCGTAGGTCCACAGACTGCTTTTTGTGAAGTCCAGACGCTCCTCTTCCAAATCTTGAAATTTGTCGCATGCTGACTTCCATTCCTTATTCCAACGACCAGTTGTCTCCTCGAGCTGCTTGACGGCCGCTTCGTATTCCTGGCTAGTTGATGCCAGCTGGATCTGGGTCTTCTCTAGCTTGGCCTTGTTCTTGCGCTCTTCCTGGCCCATGACCATATGGCCCTGAGCAAGGTAGCCCTTGATCCGGAGACAGTCCTGCTCGTAACGATCACGAGTCTATAGAGTTAGTATTTTACCTCTCATCACTCCCCGTCTTTACTTACTTTGTTGACGAGCTGCGTTTGTTGCATTTTGGTCTTGTGTAGGCGCTCAATGCACTGTTGAATAATCTTTCGTCGCTCTTTAATACCACTGGCAAACGCAGCAAGTGGCTCCTCCAATTCCGTCTTAATTTGTCCTGCAATTGCGGCGTGTGCCTTAGCGATAGCTTCAGTCTCGCCACGAACAACGTCGAGTGAGGCTCGGAGCGATCCAGTCTCGCATGATCCCAGCGCCTTTCGACATAGAACTTGGAGTTTCCGTGCGTATTCATCTTCGATGGTGGCTCGAGCTAACAAGATGTTAGAATTCGATGTTATTGCGGCTGCGTCAACGTCACGTACCGCTGTAAAAAACCTTCAGTTCGTCGTTTGTGATCTTTGACCCATGCACGCGGTCCAACATTGGTTGAAGTCCTGCATCATCTTTGCCCCAGAAATTGTTGGCAACTAGAACAATTGTCAGCGAGTGCAAATTTACACGAGTGTAATGCCACATACAAGACATGCAGACCGTAGGCCCGTCTGTCCCCATTGTTATCGATGTTGACCCTCGGCCAGCCCTTGCGCATGCAATCGAAGTGTGTAGGAATTCAGGTACAAAGGGAACAAAAAATAAGAAACAATAACAGTTGATAATTTAAAAAAATGTAAGAACACAAAAGACCCTTCCTTGGAGGTCATAAGGTTTCGAAGTTGAAGGTGAGCGGAGGGATGATGCATGTTTACCGCTGCGTCTCTCGGGGCAACCACCGTGCAGCCGCCACGCACCGCGTTACATAAGCTCTTTATCTGCCCTAGCCTTCCAATGAGATTGTCGACAATATTTATGTAGGGCTCTTGATCGGAGAATTAAGTATGATATCAAAAGAATTGTCAAAGTATTCATTTCATTTTGTTATTTCCAGTGCATCGTGCAACTATTCTATGTAATTCGGGACCCATCAATATTCAAATCCAGTCTATGTAGGCCCAACGCAAAAGCAACCCAATCCCATATCCACATAAGTAAAAGACACATGAAGAATTGTAGTTATTTCAAAATCCCTTCCAGTAAAAACGCCAGTCAAATATGTATCCCCAAAGCCGTAATGGGGATAAATCAAGTCATTCACAATCTTTCTTTTTCGTTGTTGCAATCATATCGTGCCATAAAACAAGGATCTCATCACTTCATGAAAAGCCTTGCTTGTGTTCATTTGCAAAAGGTTAAAACCGTTGTCTCATGTGGTCTGTCTTAGTAGGCCACAGGAGTAGCCGACGCAGAGAAGGTGCTGGATGCACTAGAAGAGCCCCAGCTGCGGGCACCACGGGCCACGATAGCTGGAGAGGCAGAAGATGTGGCAATGGGGGAGGCACTGAGAGCGGAAGAGTACCAGCCATAGGGGCCACGAGCAGCCAGAGGAGCAGCTGAAGTAGGGATGCTCGGGATAGAGAATGTGCCGGAGGGAGAAGCGTACAAGTCGCGGGCAGCGAAGGGAGTAGGGGAGAGAGGGATGTTTCCGCTAGAGTAAGAAGGGGAAAAGCCACGAGCCACAAGGGAAGTCGCTGAGGCAGATGAGGTAGCAGCAGAAGAGTACAAGCCACGAGCAACGAGGGGAGTGGCAGTGACCAGGCTGGAGGTTGGGACCCAAGCGGAAGAGTACGAATCACCAAAGTTGCGAGCCACGAGGGAAGTAGGCGAAGCGGTAGAGGTCGCAATAGAAGGAGTGCCAGAAGCAGCAGAGTACCAGCCACGAGCATGGAGAGATTCGGAGGCAGAGGCGGTGGGATACTCGCGCGCGTAAAGCAAAGAGCTAGAGTATTCGCGAGCAAAGATAGCCGGCTGACCAGCGGCTCTCAGGCCCCTGCGGAAGAAAGACGAAGAGCCAGCGGTTGGAAGAACATTAGGGGTCTCCCAGCACGAAGTAGGGCTAGCCACAGCGGTTGAGGGAGAGGTCACGCTTGAAGGTGTGGCAGTCACGGTCACAGTGATGGGCACTGGGTCGGCATCAGGAGCAGTAACTGTGGAGGTTTCGAAGACAGTGTCGACTTCGCGTGCGACTGGGCTAGAAGAGCAGTCTTCATCGGCATTGACTACAGAGTAGGTTGCACGGCGAGCGAGATCTTCATTCTCGGGATTGGCGAAGGGCGCCGCGTAGGTCACGCTGATAGAGCAAAGGGCGAGGACTGCAGCAGAAGAGAAATGCATGATAACAGAGAGAAATTGAAGCTTGCAATAATAATTGAGAAGGGAAAGACGCTTGAGATTGAATGGAGATATAGGCAATGCTGGAAGAGATTTGGATAGAAGATAGAATTGAGAATGAAAGAGAAGAACTCAAGTCCGGGTTTAAAAGTTATACGAAAAGGATCTACTATCACGGTGAAGTGTACTTCTACTGGGCCAAAATTAGGCGGCTGGGGATCTACGGTGGCTGGGTTGACGGCAATCCAGCCATGGGTTATATTTTTACTTTATTTTTAATTGGCTTCTATGAGCTTTGATTGGGTGGAGCTGAGATCTGATCGAACCCACATGGCGTATCTGCCAACCACGATGTTGTGGTGGGGTTCCCACAGCGACATTAAGTAAGCAATTGGTGTGGCTGGGGGCCCACTCTGACACAACTAACATGGCATATTTTGTTTCACTGTCACCTAGTTTCTTTTCATAGATCGACTATGATGTCCTCATGTCATGATTAGTAGTAAATCTAGCAGATCGCCTGTTTGATCAACACGGCTGCCGTCACTAGATGGCAAGATCTTCCACTCTCAGCAATCCACACCCCAGCGCAGCGCTGGCCCAGGCTGCGCAAGGGCGGTTGGGGTTCCACCCGAGGGCTGTGACGTGGGTATTTTCCTCGTAAATCGTCGAGGTCCCCATCCCATTGATGGGGTTGGTCTCAAAAAGCTTGTACTTTGCCAACTTCTGGTTCTCTGCCCGATATCCGTCATGAAATCGACTTGTGCCCATAGTGTTCGTCTTAGAAGTAGGAATCCATTCATGTGTGAACCATATCTGCTGCCAAATTTGCTCCTTGTTGTAAACAACTCGTCGGAAGGGATTCGTTCCTACGACCTCGCCTGCGGCACTGCCAAACAGGGCACAGGGGTGATGAAAACTGCATTGCGCCATAGCCGAGATGGTGCTGCTGAGCCGCGCAATGGTGGTAGTGGTAAAAAACCGTCGAATTGGAATTACGCGAGCGAATTCGTTTTCATCCCCGGCAACAACAGACTGGCAGATGGGAGAATAGCTGATGAAGGGAGAGGCTCCTCGCATGCGGCCCGTCGATGCCATTTCGCTGGTTGGATCGAGGACCGACCACATCCTCGTTTCGCCATCCATGGAAATCGTGATGACTAATTGGGGATGGACCGGGTATGCCGATGTGATACTGAGTATGTAGGTGGCGTGGAGTGGCCGATAGAAAAAAGGTAGAGGTTCAGACATGGAGGAAGGTTCGATGTTCCAGAGAGCCACAAAGCCGTTACCGCAGCCCACTGCAATATCACTAGGGGATAGCCAAGTGACACATGTGCAGACTGTTGATGGCGGTCTTGCCTCAAACGCAGGGGATTTGATTTTGACTGTATCTTGCACATTAGCGGGACTCGTGAAATCTCTCCAAAGGGACACTCACGAAATTCTGTTTCTTGTGACCCTCTACCTGTTTTAATATCCAAAACTCTCACATATCCATCCCCCCAAACTGTTGCAAGTAAACCAATGGATTCTTTTTCCTCTTCTTTGTCCTCCACCCGTTCGGTCCGGGGCAAAGTACACCATACCATGCGTCTCAGGTCCCCCCAGTCAGCACACAAAACTTGCCGAAGGCGGGGTTTGGAGTCCATATCGAGAGCCATCGTAAGAGTTTCACTCGGTTTGCCCTTAAACTCCCAAATCTGTAAGGCGCTAGGGAAAGGCTCCGAGGGTTGAAACGATGAGAGAGGCTCACTATCTTCGGATTTGTACTGGCTTTTCTGATCTTCTGTAATCGGCGCCGCCACAGCAAGATACTGAGTCAGACCATCCTGGTTTGGAGCCCAAGCCATGCAATGTGCCTTGTGGCCGATGTTTAATATCCAACCTTCTCGAATCCTTTTGATCTCAGCTCCTGATGAGTCTTTTTTGGAGTTTGGACTTTCCCAGGCTTTTCCAAAGTCAAAAGACTCATGATAGCCCAGCTCGAAGAGTTGTTGATTATCATGGGGTCCTAGTAAAATGCCATGTTTTCGCGCATCTGGTTTGGGTAGGTAATTTTGGAACGCCATTGACTCTTCAATCGTCTCAATGCGCTGTCTTTTCCGGAACCTCTCACCAATGTCCCCATCATAATACCAGTCCCACCCGCGGGTGCTTTCTTTCAGAACATCATCTGGGTGAACCCCAAACGTGGGCCCGTATAGATATTCAGGCTTCTTCTCCGTCTCCTCTAATGTGTAGCGAGATGGAAAAACCGCATCTACACCCTTGTTCCATCGCATTCGGAAGTGGACGGCTGGCATCAAATCTCGATCGTCAGAACCGAATGTGAGAGTGTAATAGGTGCCTTTGGACAAGTGATCTCGGGGTTCGATGATGCCACGAGTGTGTGTCTCTTCGGCGGATGGTACAACTGTTCCATCGGCTCTTCGCTTCCTAACACTCGCATCTTGTTGGTACGACATCGAACGCTCTTTATGAGGAGTATCCTCGATGCCGTCGAGCTCCATTTCTTCGGGGTCGGAGGCATCGGCTTCTGATCCGAATTCCTCTTCTAGTCCCTCTTCAGGCTCATCTTCTTCCTCGATTCCCTCGTCGGCTTCATCGCCTGACCCAGCGACAAATTCATTATCTGAGGCTGAATCTTCTGTCGGGGCGCGCTTCTTTTTCCCCTTGCCAGGAATTTCCTGCTCAGCGGAGTCCTCATCATCACTGATCCCAGCTGCCTTAAATGGATCATCAACGTATAGAGCCCTGGGTCCCTTGAGGCGGCCAGACCTGCGGCCGGAAGGCATCTTGCTTAGATAGGTCGCGTCGTTGACGACAGCCAATGACACCAGTGATGTGCATGCGTAAAGCGTGTCAAATTGTCCAAAGCTCAGTAATATACGTTTTACTGAGCAATGCAGCTGCAATATTGTGTATTGAGACGTCCGCTATTTGATTTAGGAAATAGAGAAGCTTCAGCAATACGAAGGTCAAGGTATTGACGCTAGTCCCAAGATGGCTAGTTCTGTTGCCTTGGATTCTAGGCACCAACCGATTAAACCCATCGAATCGTGGGCTACATACGGAGTACGACATACCTCATTGTAGAACTAGAAAATGACCACTTGCAGAATTGACACCTAAAATGATCGCTTTTGAGGCCAGGAACGGCTGTCTTTTCACCCATAAATTTGGACATCCACCCCTTAACCGCTCACTGTACCTAAACTAAACCCTTCGATATAACCCTCCGACCTTCGCTTTTTTCTTCTTGTTTCCTCCCAACCCTTTTTTTCATTATGCAGCAAATATCTCTCCAAGGACCGGGCTAGCTGTTGAACGTTTTTGATCGCACGTTCCATTATGTCTGCAAATCATCAACTTGGAACTCGCTAACACTTCTCAACTCTCAACAGAGAAATCGAGAAATTTCTTCCTCATTGGAGGCCCAATGACCTTCGTCGGAAAGTTCAGTGGATTCATCATGCCGATAGCATGCCTGTCCTTCTACTACAGTGCCGACCTAGAAGACGACGAGACACTGAAGGCATAGAAAAATGAAGAGATATTCAAAGATGCCTCAGACTGGGCATGCCTCAACGACAATAATCTCTTCAATTTCGGCGATGACTAGCAGCTTATATGCGAGGTCCTACACGAGATAGCTGGCCCAGTGGCATTAAGTGAGAAACGGTACACCTCTCCCGATAGTTTGAGTTGTTCTGCAAGGAGTTGAAGGAGAATATCTCTAGCGCGAAGTAGGATTTCCCTGTTGATTGAAAACAAATAGAAAGCCGGGATAAGATTATTGAGAATCATGCGAGTAGTCTGCACAAGGTCATTGCCGAAGTCTATCTTCTCATCGCGGATCAGGAAGCCTTCCAAACTAAGCGACTTCGGCTGCTCTATTTGATAAACGGAATATCGTCTGAGAGGCTCGTGTCGACCCCATGATTGGCAGATACTATACGACATTATCAGAGCCTTATACGAACCCCGTTGATCCTTACGGGTTTTCTACTGTTGGTGAAAAGTATCAGGTCGGTCAATGGGGAATTGGGAAAGGACTATCAGTCGTCCGAGCATAGAAGGGTGGCTTAACAGGCTTGGAACAATCTTGAATAGCTTCTCAGGGTCAAGACCAAAATTAGAATAGGATTTCGATTCTTCAGTTTGAGTTGAGGAGTAAATGTTAGTTACAATTACTGTGGTGCATAACGCGGTAGACAGATCGTCCTCTCGGTGACATTATAAACTGTATGTCGCAAAGTCATTGGCATAAACCTGAATTTTAAGCTCATGAGATCATAGAAGACCAATAAGGTAGGGCAAATATGGCCCGCCCAGCCGCCCCGGGGCCTACGAATCGGATAACGTCAACTGGCTCCCTCCACACCTTCGGGCTTGACGAAGTGTAACCTTATCACCAACCACACTTCCATCATGTCCTCAAATGCTAGTCGCGGGCCATCGCATAGTGGTTTCCTACATGAATATGTAACTAATAATCGCCCCATTCTTCTCCATGACAAGCTAACATTTGCAGGCTCCCAGACTTGTGGCATTCGAGTTCACCCCACCAACAGGGGGGATCAATATGACAAACAGCCTTATCTTCATAGGCGGACTGACAGATGGATTTTCCACTGTTCCCTATGTGTCCAAGCTAGCTAACGCTCTAGAGGACACCGACTGGTCGGTCTTCTCTACCCTACTTTCGTCCTCCTATGCCGGATGGGGAGTCGGAAGCCTTGATCGCGATGTAGAAGAAATTGGGCAATGTGTGCGGTTTGTTCGCGATCTCAAGGCGTCGCGCCAACCCGGTGCAGTGACAACAGCCGGAAAGATTGCGATCATGGGGCATTCGACTGGAAGCCAGGACGTACTCCACTACCTTTATTCGCCGAATCCCTTGCCGCGGAAGGAGTTTGGTTTTGGCATTCAGCACTTGGTCCGCCCTGCGCTGGATGGTGCTATTCTACAAGCGCCTGCCTCTGATAGAGAGGGTCTGCAAGCTATTATCGATGCTTCTCCAGAGCCCGACGAGCTCAGAAAAGTCTACGATCAGCTTGTGCGCTCGGCCAAGGAGCATCCATACACATCAGATAAGAACGACTCAATCCTCCCAATGAACCTGACTGCGAAGCTTTCTTATCCGGCCGACACGCCTCTTAGTGCCCGGAGATTCTTGAGTCTAGTCAGTCCTCATAGCCCCGACGACCCATCTGATGACGATCTCTTCAGCTCGGATTTGAGTGATAAGCGTTTGCAGGAGACCTTTGGCATGGTGGGTACGCAGGGCATTATCACGTCAAAGCTATTGGTTTTGTATTCTGGAGAAGATGAATATTGCCCGCATTGGGTGGACAAGGAAAAGCTATTGCGGAGATGGCAGCAAGCCATCGAAGCGGGAGGCGCCAAATGGGATACAAACAGCGGGATCGTTCCTGAAGCCAGCCACAATGTTCATGCCGAAGGTCAGCAGGATCTCATTGATCGAGTTCTACGATACCTCAAGGCCCTCTGAGCGCTGAAGGTTGATGATATTGAAGCATATAAATGTGAAATCCAGAAGGCAAGAGAACGTTGAATTGATACCGACAGTAAACAGGTCATTCAAACACCACCCAAAAGTGCACGGGTTGAGAATAACAGAGGTCAGAAAGGGGTATATCACAGCACGGGCAGTAGGCAAGTCCAGGCATGATACCATGTTGGATTTGAGACGAAGATGAATCGAAGCATTGGGGCACCAAAGTTCCAATGGTATGGCCCGTTTAGACCTTCACCCACAAGCTCATTACACCTTTGAGGTACTCGACAATCTCGGATCCACCCAGCTTACTCTCGCCGTACAGGCGGTCGACGAAGGTAATCGGACACTCGGACACCTTGTAGCCCATTGCCTTAGCACGGACCATCATCTCCATCTGGAAGCTGTAGCCCTTGCTCTCGGTTTTGAGGATAACCTTCTCCAGCACTGGCTTTTTGTATAGCCGGAAGCTTCCAGTCAAGTCACTCACACCGGGCATCAACATGACGTCCGCGATGAGGTTGGCAGTGCGCGAAGTGAACTTGCGGAACAAGTCCCAGCCGTAGACACCACCCTTGATATCTCCCCGGTTGGCATATCTGGTTCCGGTCACAATGTCGGCGTCGGTCTCTTTTTGAATTCGGATCATCTCAGGGATGAACTTGGGGTGGTGGCTGAAGTCAGCGTCCATGATGATAACAAAGTTGCCGGTGGTATATTTCAAGCCGTGGACGTAAGCTGTACCCAGACCGAGCTTTCCCTCACGGGGCTTGAGGATGATGTGTTCGGGCCCATAGAGTGTCTGGAGCTGCTTCGCGATCTCGAGGGTGCCGTCAGGGGATCCATCGTCGACGATAATCACCTCCCAATCCAGCTTCCTATAATTAAAAAACCACAAGTTAACCCCAGTGCTCTTGGGTCATATCAGAGCGAGCGCATACTCCTCATTGAAGGTCTTCTGGATCAACCAGATGATAATAGGGAGGTTCCTCCGCTCATTGTAGGTGGGAAGAATGACCGAGTACTTGTTCTCGGTCGCCATTGTTGAAAACCCACAAGTCAATTAATAAAGTAAGGAGGGTAAAAGATCCGAGCAAAGATCATATAAAAAAAAGAGAAAAGAAAAGATAGGGAACGTATGGCTGACAGCTTGTTGCATTCGGCAACGCCAGATCGCGGCCAAGTCGCCAGATCCGGCATCCACCGCCTGGCAGAATCCGATAGCTTATCGGGTGTTTTGCTTCGACTTCAATGGATTAGCATACATGCTCTGCTTTTCAGTCTAATTGATCTCAAAAATACTTCAAAGGTTGTAGAGATGGATTCAGTACCAGGCAAGCACATTCGGAATATCTCCAAGTGTAAGCGCTCACTTCATTACCACCTAACCGACTGTCCCTTACTGATTGCCTATGCAGCTTCTCGGCCCCGCAGCTCGACAAGAGGTCCTTTAGATGCATCGGATGAGTTAGTACATCGCCTTCCACCGCTATATCCTTTTTCTTACACGATCCAGTCCTCTCGCTCTCCCCGAAACACCCACCTCGCCTGTCAAACACAAATCAATGCTTGCTGCCGACAACGCCTTTTCTGGGGCATCCTTCTATGAGTTAGACCCGCTTGCGCCAGACGATCTACCTGAACCTTTAGAAAAAGACCTCTCGTTTCTACTCCGGCATAGCAACTTCCATACCCTCTCTCATCTTGAAATCCCTCTGCCACTGCGATCCGAATTCCTAATCCTCAACCCAGGGGAACCTTTGTCGACTACTCTAGGCACCCTAGAAAAGCTATTGGCCGAGGGTCGATTCCTCATTGCGGCGCATTTCTCTGCATCGATTTTGACTTCGTCTTTAGTATCTCCGACGGATATAAAGATCATCTTCTCCCTTTTCTACACGCGGCTAGCCTGTTTGGATCTGTCGGGCAATACAGTTCTCGCAGCACAGGAATCGAAGGCCCTGGAAGATTTGAGTTCAGCATTCTATTATATCGATCTCAAGCTTGAATCGGCTCCAGTCGATGCTGATTATAACCCAGAAAATGACGAAGAATATGAACAAGATCCTCGTCATATTGTTCCATGGCCGCTTCGCGTACTGGCCGTGAGACTCCAGAGTATAGGATTTGGTGATCCTCGCCGAAGCATTGGTGGTTTGTACGAGATCGGCCTCGAAGCGCGCCGAGAGATCATGAGAAGCGAAGCTACTGAAGCTGAGCGAGAATTATGGAAACAGCGATTGGCAGATCTTGGGATTAGGAGCGTGAATGCACTCATAGAGATGCGTGATTTCGATGCAGCCAGGAGATCACTTGATAACCTCCGGGTACCTGGGCCGGAGTCGAACATCACAAAGTTGAGGAAGGCACTTTTGCTTTTGCGGATTGGTGATCTGGACGCAGCAAGTCAGGTATTTGGTGACGCCAATGAAGCGAAAGAGGCTGGTTTATTAAAGCCTTTGATAAGCATGTCGGATGGTCGCTTTGCCGATGCAGTGGCCGAGTGGCGTATTCTCGGGGAGGATAGGACAAGGACGGACGGGGCTCTGGTAGCTCAAAATCTGGCTGTGTGTCTTCTGTACACTGGACAACTGGATGAGGTATTTGACCCCTAGCCGTTTAAATGGTGATTTGAACCTGTTGACTGATTGTTCTTAGTCTCGTCGGCTCCTCGAGGCCCAGGTCACATCCAACCATTCGTTTGGTAGTTTGATATTCAATTTGTCGACGGTCTACGAGCTTTGTAGCGACAGTGCAACTCGCATGAAGGGACGGCTAGCTGATACGATATCAAAACAACCTGTCATCGGGCAGACAAATCTAGATCGGCCGAACTCAGATCTGAAGTTATAACGCTTTAATTTGAAAATCACTTCGCCCTGTGGGCCATTGAATTCCTTTCTGCGCACGATCTAATAATAATTTATACTCTGTGAATGATGTCCGTCTGGTAATGAAGTGACGTTTTCCCAACCAACGCCATGCAATGAAAAGAACGCCACTAAATGCTCTTGTCCAGAGAAAGTCCAGTCCGACATGTACTCATGTACTCATGTACCCATGACTTATGCACTCGACGCACTTGGCTCCGGCTTAGGAGGGGTTTTCTGCTTCGGTCGTTTAATGATGATCCTATCACCTTCCCGCTCCCAGCGGAGCTTCTCTTTCTCGACCAATTTCTCCCATGTCCAACTCTGTTCGTCTCCGGTGCAGCCGCCCAAAATCCAGCTAATATGCACGCTGAGATAAGCACTGCCCACGGCCTTGAGCGCATGCCTGCGAACTCGGTCTGCAGCCCAATTCATCACTGCGCGGATATGAGAATCCACACTGTTGTGTAACTGCCAGAAAACCACCCAATTATCGTGGATCAAGGCAGCCAAGACCTTATCCACTGTCTGCGACTGATAGGAATGCTCTTTCCGCGCCCGAGCACGCAGTTCGTATGCCGCAATCATATCTCCTTGCCGACAGGCATAATCAAGAATCAAGTATGTAACCAGTTCGTTGGCTTCAGCGCCGGGTAGTGGGTGAGATGGGGAGTGCAGTTTATCCAGAACGTATCGGAGAGAGGGGAAGTATGACGGTGGGTGATGCGCGAGAATAGACAAGCGAATGGAGAAGACGTGAACTCGCTGTGAGAATTCTGCCGGTGTAGTTGTGGCTGTTGCCAGAACGGCTTCGCGCAGCTTCCGGAGGGAGAGAAGGAGTGTGGATAGCTCTGTTGCTGGCGAGACTTGCTTCTGTGCGGGGTTTGATTTCAAGGGCGACCGGGAAGCGGGCGGATTGGAAGTCGCATCGTTGGAGGGACTTGTTGGAAGAGAGGCCAAGGCTGCATCGAGGTCTTTCGAGTGATGGGCACAGAACCGCATGTATCGATCGACTATATTATCGAAGTACTGCGTCTGGATCTTATGGTCCAACAGTCTGCGAATGTTAGCATGCTTGACCCGGGAGAGTGCGCATGTCAAACACACTTCTTGTCCCCCTTTGAAACAAATCCGACATTTTCCAGAGAGTCAGATACTGGGCGTAAGCGACTCATTTTGCCATGTCCATGTGTTGACATGTGTTGACATAGTGTATGAATCAAGTGTGGAGTTGACATGGTGTTTGTCTTGTTTGTTTCCGAGGCTTTTCCCCAACAGGACGATTTCCCTCAACTGCCCAACGCCTGGAAATTTCTCGTTCTTTTTTATCTTGTCTATATTTATTTCTGCTTTTTCCTTGATTTGATTTTTGTATGGATTTCATTTGCTGACTTGTCTTACATATTCTTTTGTTGGGCAACTTCAAAACATTCCTGTAACTCATTGCATACTTGCATATCACATGTGATTATGCCTCATCAACGTCGCCCAATTGAATCTCAGAAAGTGACGGTAGATAGTCAGACTACGAGGATGACGGCTGTCGGCGAGGAGGCTCACGAATTGGTAAAACGACTTCTTCGTTGGGATGATCTACCTCACTGGCAACGCGACAACCATCACATCCATTCTGGATATCGGCCCGCCTCGTCCTCATTTTTAGGTTCATTCCAATCGCTGGGTTACGTTCACAATGAGACGGTCAATATCTACACCCACCTCTTGCCAGCACTGATGGCTGCCCCCGCTGCATACCAGCTCTACCAGTTGCTTTCTCCGCGTTACCAGGATGCGGCCGATTCTGATATCCTCGCTTTTTCCTGTTTCTTTGCGGGGGCTGCCTTCTGTCTTGGCATGTCCGCAACCTATCACACCATCTCAAACCATTCACCTGTGGTTGCACGCATTGGAAATGCACTCGACTATATCGGTATCGTGGGACTCATCGTGGGAAGCTTTGTGCCTAGTATCTTCTACGGATTTTACTGTACACCCGATCTCCAGCACAAGTACTGGGCCATGATCAGTATCATTGGGCTAGGCTGCGTGATTGTATCCGCGTCTCCCCGGTTCCGCACCCCACGCTGGCGTCCGTTCCGCGCTACCATGTTTGTTGGGATGGGCTTGTCTGCTGTCTTCCCCATGATCCATGGGGTTCTTCTCTTTGGAATTGACCGCATGCAGCGGCAAGTCGGTCTGAACTGGGTCGTTTTTCAGGGCTTCTTGTATATCCTTGGAGCCGCGATTTATGCGGCCCGCGTACCTGAGCGACTTATGCCCGGGAAATTCGACATTGTGGGGAGTTCGCACCAAATATTCCACGTGCTGGTGGTCTGCGCAGCAGTAGCTCATCTGACAGGGTTGTTGAAGGCATTCGATTATCGGCACAGCGGGGCTGCCGAAACCTGTCAGATTCCACGCGGCTGAGTCAGGGTCTGGAGCAACACAAGTTCGAGGTTGGACAACATGCTCATGGCGTTTTTAAAAGGTAGCATGAAATGGAATGTTCACGTTGTAGCGTACGTGGCGCGGCTTACAACAAATTATCTCGAGTGTCAAAGGGTCCCCCTGCTGACGGTGACTCGAATTAGTATGTGCAACAATGACACAATGACGAAGAAAGGAATGAAGTGATGAGCGCATAATTTACTTACAGGGACTAGACCCGGTCAGCCGATTAGAAAGAGATGTTTTTTTACTTCTATTTCACATGGTGCCCAGCGTTGTCCATTCGAGGCTATTGTACTTGTGTTCCAGAGAGCAGGCCCCAGAGCGACAAGACACCAATAGCCCTTGTTAGTAAAAGGTTCATTCGGTTCTCCAATAAGAAACTTGACCCCGAAATTGGCGTTTACGATGTTGCATCAGGGTGTGACGGCCAACAAAAGGACCCTAGCCGGTTTCTCCTGGGGGACCCTGTTTTCCCATATCATGGGCAATGTTCTAAAATAGCGAACGCTGTGAATCAAAAGAACTTCCCTTTTGCCAGATCAGGTTGAATCAGATTCGAGAATAATGAGGGAAGATGCTCCTTTTAACCTCGGGATAACGGTGCCACTTGGCGTCCCATGCGTGGTTGATCAGATGGAAGCATCTGGGGTTTCACAGCGGCTGACCTCTGTATGCGGCTGCCGTCGGTACTGGATTGAATTCCAGAGTGACATTACTTCTCTGAAGCTTGAGCTTGTTTATATATATACAAGAAGTGGGTGTAGAGAGGGTGTGAAGCGTCTACCTCATTGGACGTGTGCGGTATCATCGCGTTGATCCTAGATTTCTATCTCTAATTTCCTTTTTCCTTTCCTCTGTTACCCTTCTTTCCATCTATATCCATATATCACCGAACCCCGGGCTATAGGTAGTGTCATTATATCGTATTGGGATAGCCTGTTTCACACCAACTCCCCGTCCACCAGCACCAAACAGACAATGCTTGCAGAGTCCAATGGCAGCCCATATGCCGGCGGAGATACACCTAAGCTCCGAACCGCGTGTGAAAACTGCAGGCAATCCAAGGTGAAATGCAACCTGTCTGGCAAGAGTGTCTGTACTCGGTGCCTGCGTCACGGCCTACAGTGCCAATATGGATTTGCAAATCGATCCGGTAAACCAAAGGGTAGCAAGAACAGAGCCACCCTCCGCAAGCTAGGCCAGTTGCAAGAAGAGAAGTCCGCGATGCGCAGCTTTCGAGGTAGTCGGCTCGTTGCCCCTATGGCCGACATGGAACCGCCAGTCGGGAATAGCTATGGCAGTCATATTCCCGACCCAGCAATCGACAACGACGTAAGTTTTCCTCTGACCAATTCGGTATGTTTTTAATAAGTGCCGTCGTGTAGGTCTGTTTGATATCAAACCAGCCAGGCTTCTGGGAAAGTCCCCGAAGCTTCGGCAACACAGCAACTCTAGAGTCATCCATCTGTCCCGGACAGTTGACGACAGTGGAGAGCTCTCCATTCACAGATCTTGTGGATCCATGTCCTGCTCTCCCAGCCGGCCTGGGATATCCACATACGCCCGTGACGCCGACATTTCTGTCCGGGGACCTGGCTGACAGCATGGCCAGTCCGTCTCTAGCCGGCTCCGTGGCTTCGCCGTATCCGATCTCGCCATGCGAGTGTGTGGACATGCAGCTATTCCACATGGACCGGCTGAACCACCTACTCGCTGGATCCATGCCCCTGCGGCTGGACCACAGTCTGCAGACAATCAAATGCACATTCTGCGCCTGTCAGATGTTCCTGCAGTGTACTAAATGCGCGAAAGACAGCACGAACCTGCTGCTCAGTATTTCAGTGCTCAATCTCACGCTCCAGCTCTTTGAGTACTGGGTTTCGCGGGAGACGTCTCGCGCACCGCGGCCAGAACATGGCGTCGATATTCGCTACGGATACTATGAGATCTGCCACGAGGAAAACAGACAGATACGCAACTTCCTGCTCCGGGGTCTGTTGTTGCAGTGCCGGGATGTATTGCTGGCCCTGAAAAGCACTGCTAATGCTGCCGACGTTCTGATCTCCAAGTTGGACCATGAAAGTTCATCGGAATCAAAGCTATTAGATGAGCACATCGGTCACTGGTCTCCTGCGGAGCATATCGGCTTATTTCCCGACTTGGATATTGATATTCCGAGCACACCCAGAAGTGAAGGGCTGCTTTCCATTATTGCAGGCTACGAAGCTACGGTGTCGGCATTCTTACAGTCGACTTCATGGGGAGAGTGTATCTGTGGATCTGGGCGAGTGATGCATGATGAGTCTCTCTGAATTATACCCACATATGGGAGGTCAACTGTTTTTGTTGTTCTATACGCTAGGGGGGGTAGAGTTGGATTCACAAGCTGGACAGCAAACGCAGATCGGCTATTTAAGAAAATCGAAAAACTTCGCCTATATACGATAGAATAGTGAGCAAAGTAACCAACTAACTGCAATATCAAAATAAATAGTCATACCCCATCTCTCAATGTATACCCCACAATCTCGGTCCCGGTGAGCCTCGGCGATCCCAGAGCCGAGAGGTTGTATAAGACCTTCCCCTCTTACAAGCCCAATGCCCACCTTCAATTTACTCAATAGTTCCCAAAATGGCTCCCTTCGACCGTCTCAACCAAGTTAACGAGCACCTGAACTACCCGGCCGGTCTCCTGGCAGGCCAAGTAGCCATCATCACCGGCGCAGGCCAAGGCATCGGCGCGGAAACAGCACGACTCTTCGCAAACGAAGGCGCCAAGGTCGTAGTCGCTGATATCGACGCCAGTGAGATCCATTACACACTGAAATTTGTACATATCTAACAAACAAATAGAAAAAGCCAACGCCGTCGCTGACGCGATCAACTCCGCAAAGGCCGGCCGCGCTCTCGCCGTCGTCGGCGACGTCCTCGACAGCAACTACATCACCGAACTGGTCAAGAAAGCTGCCGAATTCGGCAATGGCAAGATCCATATTATTGTGAACAACGCCGGGTTCACGTGGGATGGTGTTATTCACAAGGTGGGACATATACTACTTACCAGCTACAATGTTAATTATAGCATCCCACTAACGAATTACAGATGACAGACAAGCAATGGGAAACCATGCTAGCCGTCCACAACACGGCGCCCTTCCAGCTCGTGCGCGCCGCAGCACCCTACTTCCGGGTCAAAGACCAAGAGCCGCGCGTAGTGATCAACATCAGCAGCACCAGCGGCATCCACGGTAATGCGTAAGTACCCGACCCCGAACTCCCAGCCCCCAATTCCAATCCCCACTCTTCTCTTCCTCGCCCAACAACAAGCACTTACTACATTATTAAATACCAAATCCTAAAATCCTAAATAGAGGCCAAGCAAATTACGCCGTCGCCAAAGCCGGCGTCGTCGGGCTAACCCGCACAATCGCCAAAGAATGGGGCCCATCCTTCGGCGTGCGGTCAAACACCATCGCCTTCGGCTTCGTAACTACACGACTGACGGCCGCCAAGGAAGAAGGCGCGTTCATCACCACGCCTGACGGCACGAAGGTTGCCCTTGGAATCCCGGGTAAGCAGCTTGCAACTAAAAAGGGTTCCTCTGCGGACCAGAGTCAGGGTCAGGAGAAGAAGCAGATTGCGCCTGCGTACCCTGATATTCCCCTGGGTAGGCCGGCGAGCCCTGTTGAGGCGGCGAGGGCGGTTCTGGGTGTTGCGTCGCCTTTGTTTTCTTATGTTAATGGTGAGACGATTCGGGTTACAGGTGGAAGGAATATGTAGATTTTGTATGTATATATATCCAGGTTGCGGGCTGGATCTTGAATAGTATATATCTGCTTCATTAAATGTGTATGTGTATATAGATATATATATCGTGTTGAGATTGTGAGGTGTATGTATATGTCACCCTGCTGCATGTTGTATATGAGATCAACCACGAGCTGTACAGGGTTAGTACTGTAAAACCCCATCCAAACCCATACCGTCAACCCGGAAAGGATCTGTCCCGGCCTGCGTGCCACTCAGGCAGCCAGCGATATCACAGTGGCGCAAGCCATCACACAACGAAACACAAAGCATCATCCCAGGCCGAATCGAGTCTCGGCCGTTGTCATACGGCGCAACGTCGCACAACAGCGTACTAGAAAAGAGGTTGGGAAGACGTTAAACGTTACAAGGAATGCAGCGCAGGTGAGATTCGGGAATTGTAAAAAATCTGCTGTAATAGAAATGCAGATGCAGTGGTGTAGATTATCAAGTAAGTATTCCTCTCTTGCCACACCGAGGTATCATATCGTAAGAATCAATCAAAAGGGAACAAGTCCCGAAATGTCCCGCCAATGCGAAAAAAAAAAGTCTATGCACATATGAGTAGAACGAGATCACACCCTTAGGTCGTCAAAATAACAAAAAGCCGTCCCTAAAAGATGAACAGAGAATAAAAAACGAACAAGCGTCAACGCCGTGTGAAAATGACCAAATACACCAATCCGAAAAGAATAAACAAGAGCCCGTATTTCATCAGCCCTCCCAGGGGCGTGTCTTCAAATCATGCTTCCCAGTGTATTATCACGCCAGAAAATGGGAACGTAAAAAGAACCTCCAGGTATTTGGAAATATTAAAACAGTAAGAAAGGAGACCCGGTCGCAAGGGACACAGGACTGTGGTCAAACGGTCCATGCAAGGTCGCGGTCGTTAAGCCAGGGTAAAGCCGTGGTCCAAGGGAAAGATGGTAAAGAAATATGTCCAAGGGAAAAGAAAGCTGGTAGCCGAGTCCAGTGGATCATGATCAACGCGATCAACTTTTTGTTCGGTAGCTTTTTGAATCCGCTCGATGGCGGAGGGAGGAGAGAGAAGAGCAAGGGCCCGGAGATATGCGAAAGGAGGTACCCGCAGAGCATTCGATGAAAGGAAACGTAGAGAAGAGCGTGAAGTCATGCAGCTGCGAGGCAAGGAGCAATTAGACGGAGATCTCGAGGCCCTGGAGGTTAGGGTGCATGAGGCCGTAAGAAAAGGGATCCGCGGGAAAGAAGGGTTCCGCGCAGACAGAAGGGAAGCCCTTGTAATCGGGGATCTGCTGCGAGACTGCAGGCGACATGGTATCGAAATCCGAGTAATCCTCGGTGATGGCCGAACCGACGGAAGCAGCAGACTGGGAGAAGGCCGAGTATTGCGCGGAGTCCAAGGACGAGCCTGAGGTCTGGGCATACAGGGGTTCCATGGGGGCCATGAACAATGGCATCTGGGGCTGGGGAATGTAGTCGATCTGCTCCGGCACCCAGGGGGTTGGGACCATGGGATTCTCCGTGAAACGGGGGCACTCCAGAATGAGCTGGCGCAGCTCTGGGATGGAGATCCGCTTCATTGGGTCAATCTCAAAGACACGGCTGAGAATACTAACCATCTCGGAGGAGAGAGGCAAAATAGTTTTCAGGAAGAAGGGGTCCTTGAGGTAGGCCTGGAATGTGGAATCCTCAATCGAGGCACGTTTCCATGGATTGCGACCGCAGGTTAGATTGACCAGAATCACGCCCAGACTCCAGACGTCGTTGGCAGCGGACATGTAGCAGGACAAGGGTCGAGCGTTGGCTTGTTGGCATTCTGACATGTAAAGTTAGCGACGACCATAGTAAAGAGGGTGGTTGAGGCATACCAGGTGACATGTAGAAGGTGGAACCACATCCAAAGTCGGTCGTATAATAATCAGTCGTGGCCAGGCCAAAGTCGGCAAGCTTGACGGTCATTCCATTTTCGGTCACCAGGACATTCTCCGGCTTGAGGTCCCGGTGGTAGATTCCCAGCGTATGGCAAAATTGTACAGCGTCCAGGATCTGGAGGAACACACTCTTGGCCAAAAAGTCATTGCCGACAAAGTTTCCCTTATCGGTGATGTTTGAGAACAGGTCTCCTTCTGGGCAATATTCCATAACGACGTAGGTACAATCCACGGAATCCATGATGCGAACCAAGGGAACCACATTGCGGTGTTGGCTGGCCAGGTGGTGGAGTCTGATCTCGCGCTGCTGGAACTTGAGTTGGCGGGCATCCAGACCATCCTTGCAGAGAACCTTGACGGCATAGACCTCGTTGGTGTGAATGTCCACGGCGGTGTAAACGACGCCATAGGCTCCGACGCCCAGGACTCTGGTGAGTTCCAGCCGGTTGGCTAATACGAGTCCTAGGCGATCTTCGGGCGCATAGCGTCGGGGCACCGGCGAGGGTGGTGGTGTGGGTAGCATTGCCGGGTACATGTCCTTGGTGTAGAGGGGATCCAATGGTCCTCTCCCGGATGAGACGAGGAAAGAGTGAGATAAGAGAGAGAGCGCAAAGAGTCTGATCCAGGGAGATTAAGAGACTAAATCCACGGATATTCAAAAGGCATCCATTCCAATCCAATGGGGTTTTTAAGATGGTCCGATCTAGGTCCGTTTGGTCCGGTCTGGTTGTGTTTGATAGACGTCGAGAGAAGGAGAGAGTTGCACAAGGGACCAGGAAGTAAGAACAAATACAAGGATGAAAACAAAACAAAGAGAGAAGGCGAGGGAGTCGAGGTAGAAGAAAGGGATGTGAAATATACAAGGTCGCGAAGTCGAGAGAGAAGGAGGATTATTATAGAGATGTATCAGGCAGATGGCCGCCTCGTGGTTCGAGAAGAACAATAATAAAACAAACGGGAAAAGGGCGCTAGTCGAAAAGGAAATTATATTAAAAACCGAAAGAGGAAAGGATCGAATGAAAAAGAATTAAATAAAATCACAATAAAACCAAAATCAAAATCAAAATAATTAAATCTATGATGCGTACAAAAATACACACCTTGGAGTGGCACCTGGAGTGGCACTAAACCAGATTATTCCCCCAAAATAATAATAGGCCATGTGTACGAAGCGGTGTGCATGCCCGAGTGTGGTCGGACCAATCATTAGACCTCGGCCGGTCTTTCCTGCAGCCGCCACAACCGATGATTGGGCCATGGGATCATAACGATCGACCTGGACGCTGCAGAGTGTCTCCTATTTCCCCCCAATCCAGTTTCCACGCTGCACAAGGTTGTTCCGTTCTGGGCCTAGTGTGGCAAAGCTTTATCCACGTATCCCAACCCCTGTTCCCCCCAACGGTGTTTCTGCCTTGAAACCTCCTGACACACTGCGACACACTGCGACACACTGCCAACACACCCGCCACTCACATTCTGCCAATCAGGCCCCAGCCCCGCAAAGCTATGGCATTGAGATCTTGGTCCAAGCTACTCCTCCTTTGCTACCATGGATCGGAATGATTGATGCATCTGTCTGAACTAATTATGTTCTCTGTTGGTTATGAAGAGACCAGGTATCTTCTACACCGTCTTTGCACAGACACCCAACTCTATCCCACACCCCACCGAGTACTACTCCGTACTTGGTCTAGACACGCTAAACAAGTCCGAGAGTGAGGCGATGATGGAGGGGCGCTATGGCCAACCATTTGCCCGAACCGTTCGATTTTCGAGAAACCCCCTAAAGCCAGTGGAGGGCCAGTGGAGGGCCAGTGGAGGTTGGCGCTTCCCTGCTGACTAGTTCTGCACGGGCCATACACTTCATCTGCTTCTCCTGGCGCTAATGTACCTTGACCTTCTCGGACGGCTTGGAGGAAGCTCGTATTATTATTGGTGCTATTCTTGAGGTCGACCTCGTTCTGTTGGTTCTGGTTCTGGTTCTGTTCTGGTTCCGTTCTATGTTCTGGGTGGCTGGGCTACCTTTCTCTCGTAAGCACGGAGATGTACTCCATAGTTCCAGTACTCCGCACAGCCCCGGTAAGAATAGCCCCTGCAAACATAAAGTTGCCTCGTCGAGTCTTCAATCTCACTTCTTTGTTTGGATCTCACTTGCGTCATATACCAGGCAAGGGCCAAGGATTGATCCGAGTGATGGATTCAAACTGTATATTATATGCGTGTTGGATATTGTATATGGTATATGTTATAGTTGAGATGTGTCTGTTATGTTGTCTAGGTACTCTACATTGCGGTGAGCAACCAACCCTCTACCCAAAGCTCCCTAGATCGACGCCTGCCCGCATCCAGTCCAATCACCTGATAGAAAGCCCGGGGTTGCGATTCATCACATCCGTTATCGGTTCTCACCCGAAACCTGCCCATGCAGAGAGTCTCATGTACCTGTACCATGTCCGCTGTCTGACAAGATGTAGAAGCTGCCGACTCGTGTGATATGATATGTGCCATATGTGATTGTGATAAGACGCCCGTCCCTTTTGGTGTCCCGTGCCTGGCCTCCGACCATAGACTAATGTATTACCGGTAGTTATGTACCCCAGGATTAGCAATGCAGCTGGCTCGTCCAAAGAGCAAGCAATGCTCTCGTTTTCGCTCGGAACCGGGCCGTTGCTTTTTGCGACGTTGTTGCTTTTTTTGGTTCTGCGACCGGCAGATGTTGTGTTCGGGCGTGTGAGGTGTTGTAGCGTTGGTTTCGGCTTCTGGTTTCGGTCTACACCGCTATGATTAACTACGGAGACAGCATAGACGGTTACTGTACGACTGTGAGAGAATAGTGTACATACAATGTAACTATCTGCCAACTTATTGGAAACCAACTACTAACTCCAACGCAAGCATGATACTCAGCTGCAACCGCCGATCCCATCTCCCACCCAATAAGCACATTGCCCTCCTTTACGGAGTAATAACTACAGCTACCCTTCAATTGCCTCTTAACGCCCAACTCCCCAATGTGTAGATGCCCTCGCCCTGCAGGTGGCGGGACCCACAATATAAACACATCTCGACATCATGATTACTCGGGGCTAAGAAAACATGGCGCGAACATCCATGTCTAGTCCCGATCACAGCCAATAGACCAATAACCTGACGAAAGGGGGCCGGAGATTAAACGCCCGTCCTATTTGGGCGGAGTCTTTTGCCACGGGCGGTTTCGCTCGTGGCATTTGGATTTGCATTTGTCCTGGATTTCAGATGGTGGCAAGGGGCTCCTTTCTTCCGTTGATCGCCGTCGCCTTCTGGAACACTCCACTTGAAGCAGCCCATGGACTACAACGGAATTGTATGACCGTGCAAACATAGTTGAAATGGATATTGGATATTGAGATGATGACTACAGGTATGATGTACATTGTATACTAGGGATCGAGTACGTAGACCATTAAACACATGCAAGTAAATCACAGAACAGATATCCATTTCGCATTGCTTTTTCCGACCGTACAATATAACTACAATATACAACATACAACATACAGAAACAATTATCCCCAAGTAACAGTAACTAGCCAGACCAAAAGCAAATAATAACACAAACGCAGAAAAAAAAACAAAAAACACTCCATCGGCAGCCATCGGCATCCATCCAAATCTAAGCCCAAGCCCAAAGCCAATCCTCACCATCCTGCCATCTCCCATCCTCCCATTTGCCAACAATTACCTCGACGACACGTCTTCCACCCAATGGCCACCAACGGCCGGGAAACACGAGCGCAATTTGCAAAAGAACCCCGCCTTTTGCCGCCCCTAAGAGAACAGACCCGTGAAAGGAGGCAATAGTGCACTCTAGTGTCCTGTACTCCATTCGACATGCATTGCGCACCGTGCCAATCAGATAATCCCGCACCCACCTATCTATTATCCATTATCTATCTACGGACTATTATCTTCAATCTCCTAGTTAATAGTTCCTCCCATGGTTCAACCAAGATAGACTATCCCGAATCCAAGGTCATACCTCCCCACAATCAGAAACTCAGAACCGGAAAACGCCCAAGGTTTCGGCTAGATACCCACGAAGCCACGGGTGCAGACTGGCCTAAGACTGAGTTTGGCTTAGAGGCGATCTAGAACTTCTTACGGTTCTTACGTGGGCGTTGGCTACGTGGGTTTTCTGTTTTTAGTGGTCTCGCGGGGAGGGGAGGTCCGAGGGTTCGTGAGTTTGGTGTGTTGCCGTATTGGGATTGGATTGGATCTGGGCTTGAAGGTTTGGGGTTCTTTGTTTGGCATCATACGATGTGCTTGCAATTATACGATAGGTAGCGTGGAGTGGAGTTGAGTTTGATTAGTTGGTTACCTGGTTTGTACAGATCTATAGTTCCAGGGGCTTGGGTCGATAGGGGGCTAGGGCCGAAGGGAAGGGGGGCGCCGCGACGGGGGCCTTGTGTTTGTTGGGTGGTTCTTTGTTGGTGATAGTGATAGTGATAGTGATGAATGGATTATCGCGCGCTACCGATGTGCTGGGGCCTAGGTACGGAGTAGAGCTAGGTTGTTTTTGGTAGGAGCTGGTTGGGTTTCTTTGTTCGATACTGCGCTAGGTTTATGCTCTAATGAAAGGTTGGATAAATCCTAAGCCACTCCCGGTTTGGCAGGAGTCCTACAACATGGTCCGAGGATGGACAGGGGTTGCTTTGTGAAAATGTTACATATGGACTTGATTTGAACCTAGTTACTGTTCCATATGGACAAAGAATCCCCTCATAGATCAACCTCCCCGATAACGCCGATCCTTCCGAGCTGCGCCGTCCCAGGACCAGGGTTGGACCCTGGTCAACGAATCAATGCAAATCCTTGTTCACACCCTAGGGGCCAGGAACGGGTGCTTCAATGCCTCGGCAGGCGTGATCCGTTTCTCAGGGTTGAGACTCAAGCACCGGTCGAGGAGGTCCAAGAACAAGCTCAGTTCTTTAACCTCGGAATCTGGCATCCCGCGGGTTCCCTGTGCCATGAGGCGCGTCTTCAAGTCCCGCGTCGGTTTCTTAAAGTCCACAATCTTGGTGTGCAGGCGGCCGGTGATCTTGTCTTCCTCCACGCTGTGGAAGTTGAGCATTTCATCAAAGTGGTGAGGCGACAAGGTTCCGCGGCGAAGCAGCTTCGGCGGGTACTTGCCCCGGCACTCCATGATGGACCGAAGCATCTGGTTGTTGTTTCGCCCCGTGAAGAGGATCTTGCCCGTGTACAGCTCAAAGAGGGTACAGCCAATGGACCAGACATCGATGGCGTAGTCGTAAGGGATACCCAGGATGATCTCCGGGGCACGGTAGAAACGACTGACGAGGTAAGGCGTAATCTCATTGTCAGAGGCCGGCGACGCCGAACCTAGATCACAAACTTTCAGAATGTTGCGTTGCTCGTTCACAAGGAGATTATCTGGCTTGAGATCTGCATGCAGGATGTTACACCGCCGAAGGTGACACAGCCCAAGGAAAATCTGCTGGCCGTAGGCCCGTACCGCGCGTATGTTCAAGCCAATGTCCCTACCGAACCTTTTCAGGACCTCACGCAGGTCCATGCTAAGGTTCTCAAACACCATACACAAGTGGCCCTTGTGATCGAAATATCGGTCGAACTTGATGAGGTGCATTTGGTTTAGCGGGTCGGCTTCCTGGAGTTGCTCGAGGATGCCAATTTCCTTCATACCGGCCTTGCGCATGATGGCGTTCTGGCGAATGATCTTGACGGCAACCAGACCCCCTGTCTGCGTGTCAGTTGCACGTACGACGGACGAGAACATTCCCTTGCCAAGATTCTGATGGACATGGTATCTTCCGTTGATCAGCTCTCCCAGTCGAACGGCGTAATAGCCCTCCGAATCATCCCAGTTATCCATCATGCTGACGTCTAGTTCCCTGCCCTGGGGTACAGCTGTGGCCGAAGCATGCGCCGGCTTGGCATCAGGTTCTTCCTCTGCGAACATGTCATCGTCGTCATCTGCAAACATATCGAAGGCCTTGGTCATCGGCGGTGGCACTGGGGGAGCATCAGGGAGGAGGATATCTTGCTTGCCAGTCTTAGTTTCATCGTATGCTGCAGACGAAATGTCGTCCTTTCCATCCTGAACATTGCCATGTTTTTGTCTTTCTTCCTTTGTATCAAGGGTTGGATCATAATCAGCAGCAGAGGACTCATCCTTGTCAGTGCCAACAGGCGCATTGGCCTTGACCACATCCATATCTTTTCCAACGAAGCCAGGAAATGCCTCCCCGGGTTGTTCGAAGGGGGATGCTCGCGGAGAATCTATTGAGTTTCCAGGCGTCAGTTTCGATACCAGGGTAAGCTTGTCCGAGAGAAACATACCAGATGCTTCCTTTGCGCTAGTTGGCTCAGTGCCAGGCGTAGATGAATCCGTTTCAACCTCGACGTTCAGTGCTTTGAGATGTAGAGGCGTCGCTTGGCTTCGGTGTTTCGCCCGAATAGCTTCACGGCGTTTCCGACGAGCTTCAAGTGCAGCAGCTTCGTCAATGGGCTCAGCCAGCTCCGGCTCTTGCGCAAGCTCTGGGTTAGGGGTTTCTCTGGGATGGATATTAGCAACACGTTCTTTTTCGCCAGCAACAAAATAAACATACTCGTCAGCCACATGAGCTTTCAGATTAGAAGAAGCCTGCACCTGGTTCTTTTCTTTTTCAGCACCAAGCTTCAAGTCCGAAGCTCCAACCGAAGCCTTTCCGCGTTCCCTCACCAACTGTTCAGTGGGCAAGCGCCTTCCATTATCCGCTGAAGACCTGGCATTAACATTTGTATCAAGTTCGTCGCCTGAATACTGCTTGGGTTTTCTCGATTCCCGGTAAGGGGATCGAGAGCGGCTGCGGGTGCGCTGCCGCTTGTCCTTGTGTCGGTCATTCCGGTCGTAATCATCACTGTATCGTAGCGCTTCTCCGTACGTCTCTTCGCGGTCATAGTCGTAGTATGAGTTCGGGCGCCTGTTCGGACCAGGTCTGTCACGCCGTCTGTCGTCATACCTAGACCTGTAGCGCCGCGGAGGCTCATTGCGGGGTCGCCGGTCGTAGGATCCATCATAGGACTCGGGGTCGTCGAGACTGCGCTTGGTCTTATTCTCTCTGTACGGGGAGCGAGAGCGGGATCTCGAGTGGGACCTGGTCCGCGACCTCTGCCGGGGTGGCGATCGAGTGTCTTTCAACGAGGCGGGAGATCCGGGCGCAGAGGATGGGCTAGCTCTGGTGGGACGGTCAACGCTGGTGCCATTAAGAGGAGGTTGTGACGCAGTTGCCTTCGTCTCTGGGCCTGATTCGACGATCTCACCCTCAGAGGGGACCGATGGGGACCTCGACCTGGGAAGGGACATGTTTACGTTCGAGGGATTCAAACGACACGTATGTACAGTACTTTTCTCTTGGGTTCACTTCACTCAGCTTTTGGAGTGAAGCTTCAACAACAAAGCTTAGTTAGCAAAAGCGCCAGCGACAATAAGTCTTCTCAAAGGGTTTGTGAAATCCAACCGGCTGTAAGAGGCCTGCCTTCACACCAAAGCCTTGCAAAAGTGATTAAAATCCCAGGCGCATAGCTTTCTGAAGAACAGGCTTGAGAAGTAGATAAAAGCACGTGCAGGATGTCGATGACAGCAAGAGAACGATTGAAAAGCCATGGCGAGTTGCTCAATGGTCGATAAGGCAGAATCGACGCTAGTCTGGTTGAAGTAGGCGGTGGATTGAAGTTTTTGCCGTCTACCCTGTGGTGTATCTCCGCGGGGAATATAACTTTTGGATATGGCACTAACCATATATAGTCTAGCCTTAGGGTATCACCAATGCTAAATTTATGTAATCAGTGTGATTGCAGCACAACATTTGTGTATTTTCTTGAAATAATACCACATTTTATACCGCTAGTAACATTCACAAAAATAGCCCGGTCCTCGCCCCAGCCATAGAAGGTATGGATAAGCACCCCTCATGTAAATTTTTCTTCGCCAACGCCGTCTAAACACCCCGCGCTATCAAGACTCTTTCCAACCCGCTCTCCCAGTTATTTTATTCGGACAAAATGGGTGGTATCGGCAGAGAAGGTTCGTATTACCTCGTATTCTAGTCCTTGGAATCCTGTTCACTAATACCTTATGATCTACAGGTGGCAAGGCTAAGCCCTTGAAGGCAGCCAAGAAGGAGAAGAAGGAGCTGGATGAGGATGAGCTCGCTCACCAGGCCAAGCTCAGGGCTGGTATGGCTTTTGACACACTCTTCACGAAGTCAGTTACTGATTTCCACTAGATGCCAAGGCCCGCAAGGACATGCAGGAAGCGGCCAAGGGCAAGAAGGGTCCTCTCAACACCGGCCAGCAAGGCATCAAGAAGTCCGGCAAGAAATAAACGGATCGAATACTCCTCGATAAATCGCTTGCCAACAATCCCCCAACGAGCCTTGACACCAGGTTTCTTGAGTCCATATTCACGACCTACACGAGCCATGTACAATGAGCGAGCGGAGGATGGGTGGCTGTGTGATCGCGTCAGCATCACTGCACCCATAGTTATTTTCTATGGGTCTTCTGTATATCTTTAGCCACCAATACCTATTTCGCGCTTGATCGCTTTTCACATACGAGTTTCCTGTTTTTAAAAAAGCAATGAGATTAATCAGACTAGAATACATCAACATTAACCGCCACAGCTTGGGCTTCCGAAGTGGGTATCATCCTGCCATGTAGGCTGCCAATGCAGGGAATCGAACGCTCAAAACACAACCACCATGTCGCAATATCGGAAAAAGAACTAGCACATTGCCTTGAAAAAGTAGAATCAAACAGGACGCTAACAACTCCACAATCGCAGAAATGAAATCAAGATCAACCGCACATGGACCAATTCACAACTCAACAGCCACTAACTAGTGACTCGCTTGACCCAGAGATTATTGCCATCGCCGGCATTCTCCTTCTCGTCTAGGCGACGCCACGCTCGAGTAATCTTCAGGCCAAGATCGTGCTCTTCTTTCTTGATATCTGCAAGCTTGTCTTCAATGCCTTTGATGCTCTTCTGGGCCTCGGTTCTAGCAGCCAGGTCATACACAGCTGAAGTAGGATGAACAACCTTTCTCAACTCGAGGATTAACGCCTGCAAATTCAATCTGCGCTGATTCAGGTCATCCCTCTTGTCCTCCATTGCCTTAATGCGGCCATGCGCATCGAGAGGCACCTCGGGTGGAGGCGAAGATGCCTGAGCGGACATATCCGCGATTTGCTGTGCGGCCTCGGATGGAGTGGGTTTTCGGACGGGCTTCTTCGAAGTCGGCACGCTGATTGGAATTGGGCGGCGTCGGGACATGATAGAGGACGTGGAAACATCGTCCATAGATCGGTTTTCAAGCTGCATACTCACTCGCGGGCTTGGATCTCGACTTCCCGGCTCGGTGGCTGTGTATGTGGTTGAGCTGAAACGGCTAATGGATTCCTCGGTCGTGAACATCATGTCGCTGAAATCGTTATCGAACTTGAATATTGGTTTCTGCTCCTCTGGTAGGCGGCTTTGGGCGTGCTCTGTTGCCGGTCTCCGGGGAACGGATGCTGGACCACCGCCGGTGATAGTGGTCACAGTTGTAGGAGCAAAGCCAAAGTTATCGAGCTGGGGACTCGTCTTTAGCGCACCGTTGCCGTTGCGTTTGCTGGTACGCTCTTCCACTGGAAGCCCACGTGACGCCGATCTACTTCTGGGTGCCTTTTGCGAAAGCTCTTCGGTCTTCGAGAAACTGGTGATCCGGCTTCGAGCTGCATTGAGGGTCTTCTTGGGGTTGAACCCCTGGCCCCAATTCAGTAGGTTGGAAGTGGGAGCGGGAGCAGGAGCAGGAGCCCCAGGTCCGGAGGCTTTTTGGAGAGAGGTTTGACGGGTATCACCAACTCTAACAACATCACTCAAGGTCGGTTCGGCTGAAAAATTATTCCAGTGCGTTGATTTACCAGAGATGAATCGCCTAGAGTCGTAATCATGTTGGAGATACTGGACAGGTTGGACAGGTTGAACCCGGGAGTGAGAGGGTGTGTCAACATAGTCTGCCTTGGGAATAGGAGTTGGGGAAGACAAGGTCCCAGTCTCCTGTCGCGCATAATCAGAAAATTGGTCGCCGTCGCCAATAGGCGAGACACAGAAACTACTTTCGCTTGCTCGCCTGTGCGCTTCAAGCACCGGCGAAATGGCAGGCGACACGCCCGGCGTCCTTTCGATATCCTCACGCAGGACATCTGATTGTAATGAATGTAAGTCGCTGATTTCCATTAGCTATCTATTGAACACGTAGCAAACACAAGACTTACTCAGGCAGAGCGGGCAATCTTTTGGCGACCATATCATGAACAGGGTCTGATGTGGTAGGTGGATTGCCATTCAATATGGGGCCGCTAATCGAAGGCCGTTTGGGCTTGTGAAACGGTCTCTTAGACCACATAGCGGATTTTCTCACGCTCTAGACGTGACACAGGGCTGATTTTGGTCGGAAATGATAGCGCAGAGTTCACGCAAAATGATGGAATGGATTTCAGTCACAACAGAGAGGATGAAAGGGAGAAAGAAGAGGCAAAGGACCGCAGAATATTAGAAGGGGCTCTGTTTTCTCGGCGACAATGCACGGCCACGGAAGCCTATGGAATAAAGGAAGAACGCGCGAACAAATTATATAGATAAAAATGACTCGAACACCTAGGCAAAATGCAAGGAAGGAGGAACTAGACGATAAAAATAACTTGAAACTTGAAATAACATGACATCCGCTAATAGGAGTGGGCAGATTAAATTGGGGGCGATAGTCAGTGGAGAGTCTTGAAACAAATTCAGGGACTCGTCGGCGTTTTACATTTTCAATCTGAAGTCCGAGAGCCTAGTCTCTAGCCCGCACGTGAGAGAAGTAGACGACTCCTAAATCCAAATCCATGAAGCCAAAGAATGAAAGAGAATATGTAAGCTTCCAATCACGTGGAGCGGGGAGAAGATGTCATCCCGAGGTTCCGGTGTGCTTTCTCTAAATACAAAAGATCTGCCTCGATGGGTATGTCCTTTGCTGCTCATGTTCTGAACACCCGCTAATCTAGAAACTAAAACTGCAGATCATTCTGCGCCACAGCCTGAAGTGTTCGTGGGGGGGGGGGGGGGGGGGGGGGGGGGGGGGGGGGGGGGGGGGGGGGGGGGGGGGGGGGGGGGGGGGGGGGGGGGGGGGGGGGGGGGGGGGGGGGGGG